GCTCAACGCCTTAAGCCATATTGATGCTCTGTCCACAGAGCATTCTCTCTCTCAAATCATATACACTGATGGTTCCCTACACCGCACCTCGGGTGCAGCTGGAAGTGCAGTTGTCCTGACAATGGGCGATGGCTTGTACTTTGAGTGGGGAGTCCGTATAAACAACTGGGCCTCTACCCTTCAGACTGAACTATTTGCCTTGATCCTTGCACTGAAATGTGTACAAGTCTCCAAACTTGATACATTAATTGTAAGTGACTCCTTATCATCCTTAAATGCTCTCAACTCTTGAAGACATAACTGTAACATGCTCGTGTCTGAAGCTAGACACAAATACAACAAAATTATTAATGATAGTAACAGAGTCCATTTCATGTAGAATACATCTCATGTTGGCCTCAGAATGCATGAATGAGCTAATGAGTTAGCTGAAGAATCTGCCTTTAAAGGAGAAATTGAATATAACCTTGGATAGTCAATAAGCAGTCTGAGAGCAATAGAACACCAAGAACTTCAATAAAATCTTGTATTCACCTAGTTGTGCTTGTGGGGGTTGAGCTCTGGTCTTTTGGCTCGCCTCCCAACTGTTAATCAATCAACTGTTACTAACTACTATTTTTTTCCACACACACCCCAAGGAAACATCCCATAACAGCTGTCTAACTCCAGGTACCTATTTACTGCTAAGTAACAGGGGCATCAGGGTAAAAGAAACTGCCCATTTTGTTTCTCGTCAGCACCGGGAATCGAACCCGGGACACAGGATTACTTGTCCAGCATTCTGTCCACAGAGCTACTGGCACCCCTAGATGCCAGTAGCTCTGGCACCACTAGATGCCTAGATCACTTTGTAGATCTGAGGCAAAGTAAAATCAACACCAGTAATTCCAATCATCATCATTATACTATCATACAAGAGGAGCCACACATCTATGGTTCATCCAATAAAATCAGCAGACTTCTAGATGTTACTACTGCTCGGCTTAGACTCGGTTACAAGTATCTCTGGGAATTCTCGTTATCTGCTGATGTAGACCTGACCAAATGTAAACTGTGTCAACAAAATTATTCGCACACCCTCCGTCACTATGTGATGGACTGCGAAAGATTACTTGAATTCAGAAACAATTCTATAACAAATGTTCCAGCAATGTGTAAATATTTCATTCAAAATGATCTGCTGCCAGAAGTCTTAGCCAAATATCCCCAGTTTGCTAACTGTACGTTATCAAACTATCAAAGTTATTGTAACCTATCCACCGCTGCCCACTGGATGGGGGGCGGTGTGCAGGATAAACTTATCAATTGTGACACTAGCTCTATACATATGTCAGTTGCTTAACTTAGAAACTGTACTTGTGGTCGGTGTCGAGCCCATTGATGATGTGACGATATGCATTGAATTTTGTTACTATCTCATCAAGACTGTAACTTGTTAAGCTAAATGAATTGTTGGGGTTCAGCCCCTGAGTCCATTATGTGCATCTGTAACCCATTCCAATACAACTCACAAGCTGGGTATGGGGTGAATAATAAATGAACTAAACTAAAACTTAAAACAAAGTCAAGTGCCCTTGTTGAGATACCAACTCTAATCTACAAGAAAGCCTCTAGATTTCTATCTCCAGCCATTGCAATGCTCTACAACAAATCACTTGAATTCCAAACATTTCTGGATATTCTAAAAAAAGCGAGAGTAACCCTATTCCATAAATGTGGTGATCTCAATGATGTCAACAATCTCAGACCTATATCAATTCTGCCAACCTTGTCAAAAATATTTGAAAAGCTAATCTACAAGCAGCTTTACTCTTAAATAGCCAAACACAATATATTTAGCTCTTGCCAATATGGCTTCAGACCCAAAAAAGCACTAATGATGCAGATTAGTATGATTAACTTGATACATGCAGCTCTTGATAAAAATGAGTTCCCTGTTGGGTTATTTGTTGACCTACTTAAGGCTTTCGACACTGTCAACCACCAAAACCTTTTTCTTAAATTACATCATTATGGAGTCAGAGGTAATACCCTGCAATACCTTCAGTCTTACCTTAGTGACAGGCTCTAATGTTTCTGTGAATGATTTCATTTCTCCCAGCCTAACCAGTAAAGATTGGTATTCCATAGGGCAGTATATTGGCTCTCTTTCTCATCTACATTAGTGACCTTCCAAATGCTTTTCAACACCTCAAGCTAATTTCATTTGCTAGTGACCCAATCTTCATTTTCTCCAGTCCTGACTCTCTTATTCTGAATGATACAGTGGATACCGAACCAAATTAAGTCCATCTTTAGCTAATTGCTAACAAACTCAACCTTAACATTGACAAAACCTTTTATATTTTGTTTGGTAATAAATCCTCATATCATATTAATCTAAGAATTAACAGTAGCCAAATTAGTAACAAAGTAGATAGTAAATTCCTTGGTGTTCTCATCTGAATTTCAACAAGCTGAATTTCCAGTGCCACATTCAAAATACTGGACAGGTGTATTGCAAAAAAGTTTCTAAAACTGTTGGCATTCTTTCTAAGATCAGATATTATGTACCTCACATTGCCCTTGTAACACTATTACTCTCTCATCTATCCTTATCTCAATTACGGTACCTACGTTCGGGGTTCTACTACCCAAAATCATCTACGTCCTCTAGTTACTCAACACAAATCTGCTATTAGAACAATAACAAACTCTGGCCCCAGACAGCACTCGCCCCCCCTACTTAAATCTTTGAATATGATAGATATTAAGTCACTGCACATCCTCTCAAGTGTACTCTAAAATATATAAAACTCTGAACTGTAATGTCAATCCAGACCTTAAATGCTTCCTAGAATGTTTTAACAGAACCCATGGGCTCTACTAAAAACAAATACCTATATGATATTCCAAGAGTGCAACATAACCAAACTATAAATGCTCTGCAAATCAAGGGACCCAGAATGTGGAATGACATTCCCAATAATTTCAAAGGCTGTACCTCTCTTAGTTTAAGAGCATACCAGTTTAAGAGAAAACTAAGTATTACCTAATAAACTCCATGTAACCTACCTTACCTCATAAATGTCCACCTATGTCTTGCTATTTTCAAACTATTATTTATTGAGAATCTTGTTTAACTGTTGATATCTGCCATGTATAAACTTAAAACAAATTGTAATTTCTGCTTATTTAGTTAAAATTCCCTCTGCAGTTCTGTTACATTTTCTGATTTTCCATCCATCATGTAATTATCATCATTCTCCTTTTCTTGTTTACCTTTTTTAAATTCAAGTTATGCTTTTGTTCTCAGTATTAACCAATGTATTTATCTTTACCTGTATAAACATCTTATCTTATGTGAAAAATATATGTTACCTTGGCAGAAAACTTGAGGAGATTATTATTAAAGCTTACTCAAAATATAAAGACAGTCTTTTTATGCCCCTTTAAGCAAAACTAAGAACAAAGACTCAGTAGGACCCTTAAGAGATGAGAGCAACCAGGTTCTAGCTGACGATAAAAAAGGCAGCCAACCTCTGAATTGTTTATATAGAAAGGATTGGAGTCTGCAGGGAAGAAGATTGAGGATCTATCAAATGTGCTTTTATAAATTCTAAGGGAATGAGAGAGATGACCATGATGAAGACTGGAGAATACATCAACCTGGAAGATTGGATAACCTTGGCCTTGGAGGAGGTACTTAATATCATCATAAGTCTTCAAGGTCTCTGTGCCCAGTTGAGAAGAAAGAACAACTGTGCCGATGCTCGCATTTAATTAGACATTTTAGACCCATACTGGGGTCCCAATATGCAAGACAGGGCAGCTGGTGGGCAGCCATCGCCTTTGAAGGGGCCTCAACAATGTGCGAGACAAACTAGGTAGGATTAAATGTAACATATATACCCAAAGCGTCTACAAGAGGTTTGTGGATTTGTAAATCATCATGGCAGGTAAGGTCATCATGAGAGATACCAAAACAGTGTACTTAGGCCACGTATCAGGGCTAAACAGATCCTGGTACTGTACATAGCAGTGATTAAGGGGAAATATGTAGGCTTGATTGCGAGAGCGCCATGGACTCCAATTAACGAGGAATATAGAAGGTATAGAAACCTTTTAACCAAAAACCAAAGATGGAGTCACTCCAGGTGATGAGGTTGTCACCACTGGCAACTTGGGGCTTGACCTTGCCAAGAAAGTGGCTGGGGATTGGAGTGGATTGGTATGTTGAACCAAAGACATGGCTGGGTCTGGGCACATCATAGTCAGTGCAATGGAGCTCATTCATTCATTACAGCCACACTTGACCCAAGGGGGAGGGGGAGGAGGCTAGTCACCCAATACACGAACCTGAGAAGAAGGAATGCTTTCGGAAGACATGAAAATACTCAGAAATTGGACTTTACAACCCTGTACCTCCTTCCACTGAGAAGTCCAACAAAGAGAGGTACAAGCACATGGGCAACTTCTGGGGTAACAAGACAGTAAACATAGGTAACCACTGAGGTGTCTGAAGATTACCCCAGGAACCAATAAGGGTTATCAACCCCACAATGCCCACTTCACTCAATATCTAACCAGGCAAGCTAGCCAAATGAGCCGATTGATTCTGATGGGCCACGCTGAACCTTCCCTTTTACCACCGATTCCCTACCAAGGAAATGTGTTGCCCGTGTGCCACATGGGCATAATTCACTCGTGCACCATCATAGCAGGTAGATGACCGAAGCACAAGCCATAAGCACATGTCCATGAGAACCACACTCACCACATCAAGGCAGCACCATTGAGAGGAGTGTTTATTTGTAACCCCATTCCATTTGTGTCCATTTGCTCACATTCCAGGTATTATGTAGTTAAGTGTTGGTGTTCACACTTCAGATGTCATATAGCTTATACTGTGCCACTCTTAAATACACAAACATGTTTACTTTGAAAAATACACTATTTCATCTTTTACAATTTATTAAAATATAAAAAATACAACATAAAAATATACTATACACATTTCTTCTGCTTTCTGTTTCTTCATGTGCTTTTTGAGTGTTGTACAGATCATATATCAACACTCTCTGAATCATCATTTAGGGGCTCATAATCATCAACTTTATAACTTTCGTTGTGTAGGTGATGCTGAGGGCTGAGTAGCATAACCAGCTTGAGAGCTCAAGCTGCGTGTGCTGCTTGTCGTTACTATGTTCTTGGCGACATACCCACAAATTTTGTCTCGGGTGGCTGATGTGCACTGGATGCCTCAGGTGCAGAAGGGGATCTTCGTGTACCAGGCGAGAGTTTGAAATGTTGCGGAGCATCTAATATCATCTGAGGATGATATACACAATACAAGGGTTAATATGAAATCTCTACACATACAAATAAATCCCAGTATGTTAAATATATTTTATGATTATTATAATTATTATACGGAAATAGCAAATTATTAACAATTTCCAATTTTAAACATATTAGAGTTAATGTTTAAGGATAAAAAGTTACATACAGTAGTATACTGTAAAGTTCTATGATAGATGACAAATCAATTCCAAATAAAAATACCGTATCTTTTAACGGTTCTCGTTAAAAATAAAAATACACATCAGACACCCAACCCACAGATCTGAAAAATAAAGGTATTGGCCACGTTTCCGTCTGTCCATGAAGAGTGTGAAGTTGTATAATGGTTGCTCAACCTTATAATGATCTGCACCACACTAAAACTTAATCAATTTTCAGATTTGTTAGTTGGGTGTCTAATTTTCAGCCATATTAACTTTGGCTTATTGTTTGCAACAAACACATTAATGAATCAAAAGCAAAATGTCTGAGAGTATCATTCCATCATATTCCCTGATGATGGAATGTGATCATTCCGTCATCAGGGTATACATACAATGTCTGGGTCACCAATGTTAGTTTTTTAAATATTGCTCACTAACTATACTGATCTTTCTTATACCACTATATCACCAGCGGGGACACATGGACCAATAACTATAGGGATCTTCCTCACACCACCACCAGGGGACACATGGGCCAATAACTATAGGGATCTTCCTCACACCACCACCAGGGGACACATGGACCAATAACTATAGGGATCTTCCTCACACCACCACCAGGGGACACATGGGCCAATAACTATAGGGATCTTCCTCACACCACCACCAGGGGACACATGGACCAATAACTATAGGGATCTTCCTCACACCACCACCACCACCAGGGGACACATGGACCAATAACTATAGGGATCTTCCTCACACCACCACCACCACCACCACCAGGGGACACATGGACCAATAACTATAGGGATCTTCCTCACACCACCACCACCACCACCAGGGGACACATGGACCAATAACTATAGGGATCTTCCTCACACCACCACCAGGGGACACATGGACCAATAACTATAGGGATCTTCCTCACACCACCACCACCACCAGGGGACACATGGACCAATAACTATAGGGATCTTCCTCACACCACCACCACCACCAGGGGACACATGGACCAATAACTATAGGGATCTTCCTCACACCACCACCACCAGGGGACACATGGACCAATAACTATAGGGATCTTCCTCACACCACCACCAAAGGACACATGGACCAATAACTATAGGGATCTTCCTCACACCACCACCACCAGGGGACACATGGACCAATAACTATAGGGATCTTCCTCACACCACCACCACCAGGGGACACATGGACCAATAACTATAGGGATCTTCCTCACACCACCACCACCAGGGGACACATGGACCAATAACTATAGGGATCTTCCTCACACCACCACCACCACCAGGGGACACATGGACCAATAACTATAGGGATCTTCCTCACACCACCACCAGGGGACACATGGACCAATAACTATAGGGATCTTCCTCACACCACCACCACCAGGGGACACATGGACCAATAACTATAGGGATCTTCCTCACACCACCACCAAAGGACACATGGGCCAATAACTATAGGGATCTTCCTCACACCACCACCAGAGGACACATGGACCAATAACTATAGGGATCTTCCTCACACCACTATACATAAATATTGAAAGTTTCAAGACAATATGAGAAGGTGTTCAAACATTACATAACACTGAAAATAGATTAATTCAAAAGTATTTAGACCTTTCGACATTATAAAGTAATTCTTTGGAGGATACAGTTCCTGACATAATATTAAAGCCATCAATGAGGTCAAGACCAATATCCCCGAGAGCCTCAGGCACATGCACTACCAACTTGTCCATGATGACAGCTTCAATATTTTCTCATAGATACACAATACTGGTATAACCTTCCTTCTTGAGGTTATCTTCTTGAGCATCTTTGTGATTAAATTGTCATAAAGTACAAAATATAAATAAAGAGCTGTAATCAAAGATAAAACGATCACAATATAATTTTGACAACTTCTACCTGGTTGTGATCAGACGTTTCACTTTTCACATTCATAGAGTTAATGTCAATGAAGACGAGGTCTTTTCTGTCTTCCTCTCCCATATCTTGTCTGTCTTCCTCTCCCATAACACGCATATTATGAGAGCAGTCACTAGAATCTGCCTGACCCTCCACTTCCAACGGCTCTGTTGAGAAATGAATAAACAGATTCACTGAATGATACAGCACAACTTCTCTGGGGCCATAAGAGTGAGGTCATGGGCACCACATTAACAAAATACATCTAACCTCAAGACCAGGTATACAAAGCTTGGCTCAACTTCCTAACAGGGAGTGTCAAACTAGGAAGACACGACATTGTGGCCCAACAGAACCTTTGAGCTAATCCCTAAAGGATGGAACACTCTTAGTCTGTCTCCTGTCCAACAGCAAACTTCAGCTGTAACAGAATTATGGTTGATGTGGAAGGGAATTTATTAGAGTTTCTGGATAATGCGGAAATGTGCATAAAATTGGGCCAGTCTGAAAGTCACATGGAAAACAATCTTGGTTAAAACTGTTATTAATTTTTTTTGTCTACAGTATTTGAAAATCAATATTTAATATTGCTATTAGTACTATAGTGTCCTCTCTACTTCAGATAATCAGAGAACGATTCTGGACTGTAATTCTAATGATTCATCTGTATCTGCGTTGACCCCCACCATGCATTAGAGAGAAACATACTGCTGTTTTCCCCAATGATCATGTACTGTACTCCTGTGTGCTTCACTTACTAGTTTATTATTAAATACATTAAATGACTCTTACCATGTTTCACCTTAATTTCATTGTCGTCTGTGCAGCAAGCCCAGCCTCTGCATGTGTCATCTTCCTGAAAATATTAAAAATATGAATACAGTAATAATAAAAGTACAGTACTATAACAAAGGTATAATAATACATTAATAATAATTTCATCCAAGCAGCAAGCTCAGCCTATGCATGTGTCATCTTCCTGAAAATTTAAAAAATATGAATACTGTACAGTAATAATAAGAGTACTATAACAAAGTTATAATAATACATTAACAATAATAACAATATATGTCTAATAACTGCAAGATGAGAGAGTGCCGCTCACCACAGTTTCTTCAACTTTAATGTCCTTGCAGGACTGTTGAGTCTCTTCAGTATTCTGCTGGCAACGAGTCTCGCTTCCTTCTGGTGAATCAGCGATGGCCATCTTTGTTGACTTCTTACTCACCCGGCCAGAGCGAGATACCTACAAGAAAATAATGCTTTTACAATAACATCATTTGTGATTGCTGGTCATGTAACCTGTTTTCTGAAATTCCTGAAACGAGCAACTTTATGAAAAAGAGGACACAGATTTAACCTAAGAAAAAAAAAGGTGCCCCAAAAATATTAGAAAGTTCTCTTTTACAGAGTGGTAGACAGTTGGAACAAGTTCAGTGAGAAAGTTGTGGGGGACCAAAACCATCAGTAGTTTCAAAGCGTTATATGACAAAGAGTAATGGGAAGACGGCACACCACAAGGATAGTTCTCATCCTGTACAGCCCGTCCTCCAAAAATGGGGTGGTAAATGTAAGAAGACAAATACATAAGTTCAATTATGTACTATTCATAGCAATTAGGAATTGTACTTATTTTCACTTAGTATTAAATCGTACTGTCAAATATATTGTGAATATTTGAGTTTACCTGAAAAACTGAATAGAAAACCACAACCTCACCTAACCATCTTAGGTTTTGAAGATAATAATTTTATTGCTTCTTAATTACAATTAATACTTAACCTATAACTATATTGATATTACAGTTTTATAAAACTAATAAAACAAAACTAAAATATATCAATAAATTGTAAAGTAACTCAGGATATTTTAAAATTTTGTATAAAATCTATATTGTTTAATAAACCTGAAAAAGAAATTCCTGATATTTAAAACTTGTGTATTGCCAATTGAAATTGAAAACTTCATCCTAAAATTCTGAGTATCTTAACAGAAAACGAGGAGAATTAAATCAGGGGAGGGGGTTGGGTAAATGTAACAGCCCCATAAGTGCAATTATGCACTGTTTATGACAGTAAGAAAGTGTACTTATTACACTTAGTATTAAATCGTACTGTCAATTCGGAGGAAGGGTTGTCCTGTAACTGCACTTCTACAAGACATGCAACTTCACCAGCATAATCAATACTATTAATTTATACTGATGGGATTATATTGATCTCAAATTCTGCTACAATGTGCCTATTTGTACCTTTTTGTACTATTGGTACCTATTTGTACCAATGTATCTATCACATCATTCTTGGAGGAGACTTCAAAATTGACCTAAGTCAACAAAATATTGTAGCCCCCAAGTCGACTGTTTCCTAAACAGCATGAACGCCTGTATGCTAATCCCCACAATCACCAAGCCCACCTGAGTCACTCAAACATCTGCCACTACCTGTCAGCGTAGGGCAGCTGACAGCTGGGTGGAAAGCACTTCGGATTGGTAGTCCTGAGGTTTCGGGTTCAATCCCCGGTGGAGCCAGAGACAAATGGGCAAAATGTTTCTTTCACCCTCATGCCCCTGTTACCTAGCAGAAAATAGGTACCTGGGCATTAGACAGCTGCTATGGGCTGCTTCCCACGAGATGTGTAACATAAAGGAGGCCTGGTCGATGACCGGGCCGCAGGGACGCTGTTACAAATGATATGAGTGGGGCTTCTATGGGGTACTGGTACTATTAAGGGGTATAGGTAGTTAGAAGACAGGAGTATCAAATATGGGAGAGCTAAAAGGCCCGGCCCCCAAAATAAACTATCCACAGCAGTAATAACTTGCTACAAGACCAAATATGTTCGTCTAAGGGTTGATCACTGCGCTCCCACCTTGGAAGAAGAGATACTCTGTAATTCATGTACTTATTTATTAACCCGTTAACAACCCCCCATATACACTCACACCAATAACAATAATAATAATAACTTTACCACACTATCTTACGTTAAAAGCCTTGGTCCACGTAGGCAGGATACAAGGTTTACACTAATAACAAGCTAGGGTAAAGTACTACTGGATAAGCACTGAAGCTGGATGCAGCTTAGGGTAGTGAAACCACGTGGGACCCTAATACAAAACACAACACTTAGGGGTACCCAAACACTGGCAAAATACTATCCCCAGGTCTCCCCAATCGTTACTACCAGAGTAGGCACACTTACACCATATAATACTTAACTTAAGGGTACAGGAACTTCAGGTAAGGGAAATAAGTAAGAGGAGAAGGAAGGAGAGTAGGGATACAGCCACAGAGTAGGTCTTAACCTCACGCCACCAGCCAAGAGAAGACCGAGCTAGCCACCAGCTGCCTCCCTCATGTTGTGGTGCTGGGAGGAGCCTAATTGATCGTGCAGCTAAGCACATTAAAGATCTTCCCCTATGCAACGTATTGTTACTTTATGAATGATTAGAAAGTATTAGTAAGCAAAGTTGGTGCCTATGTTATTATTTAATAATCAACCCCCAGCTCAGTCTTTAAATGCTCTTTGAGAAACAATAATAGTCTTACGTCTGGCAGGGAAGATACAAACAATTGACATTCTAGATGCCCAACTGTGCTACCAGGAAGTTTAATAGCTCAATTTTGACCTCTGGTTTCCACTGGAGAACCCAGGGTCGTAACAGACGCTAAGCCCCGAAATCATCTCAATATAACCTCAAGATAAGATAACCTTGGATCATGTATGGACTAACATAACAGCTCCCCTTGCATCTGGTATAATCATTGACAGAACAGCTGACCTTATCCTACCATCCTTATAGCAAACATGGACATAACACCACCAGAAAACAAGAAACTTACATTCAGGCTACACAGTGAAGCAGCAATAGGCAACCTCACAAATGCACTTCACAATATTAACTGGGAATCTGAATTCAATAATACACAGGGTATAAATTCATTAGCTAACCTCTTCCTTTCCAAAACTCTAAGCCTCTACAACACTCATTATCCCCTGCTCATCAAGCAAGTAACTGATAAACAATCTGTGGCTCACAAGTGGCATATCCCAATCAATCAACAAGAAACATGAATATGAAAAGAAACTTAGGATTGGCCTAGTTACAAAGGAAGTAGTTAAAAGGTACTCATCAGTGCTTCCCAGTATCATAAGAAAAGCTAAACTTTCCTATTATGAGAGTAGATGCAAAGAAGCAAAAGGCAACATGAAAAGCACATGGAAAGCCATCTCTAACATCCTAGGAACTAAACAACACTCACATTACCAGATAAAACTCTCAAACGATGGCTATACACCTGCAACTGATTTAGAAACGGCAACTGAATTTAATAGCTTCTTTTCATCGGTTGGTGCTAACCCTGCCAGAAAAATCCCACAGACTCAGACACATGTTAATATCTCACTCTCAGGCAGCTATCCAAACTCTCTTCTCATTTCACCAGTCAGCCCGACAGATGTTGTGGCCATGATACACTCACTAAAATATACTGTACATCAATGATCTGCCTAATGTCTCTAACATTCTTAAACCTATATTGTTTGCTGATGATACTACCCTCATATACTCGGACCCCAACCCACACATATTAAATAATGTTGTGAATAATGAATTAAAAAAGTCCACTTAGAGATGTCAACCAACAAACTCTCATTAAACATAGAAAAGACCTACTATATCTTATTTGGAAGCAAATCAACAAATGAAATTCAGCTTCAGATAGATAACGTTCAATTAACATCATTAACTCTATGCAAATAAAGGGACCTACTCTATGGAACTCACTCCATAATGAATTGAAAAGCTGTCCAACTTTTGCCTTATTCAAAACAAAACCAAAAAGTACCTAATTTCATCGTCATAGTTTCCTACCTAGTGCTTTAAACTCACACTGTATCTAGTGCTACAAAAGCACCTGATATATATATATATATATATATATATATATATATATATATATATATGTACCTAAGCCATACAACTTTACCATTGTGATCATTGCTGTCATCATATATGTGCTATCAATATGCTTTTAGTGCCTACTCATCTTTGTCAAATTCTCAATCAAGCTATCACTGCTATCAATCAAAACTATCAATGTACTTTAATATACCTACAAATCTCTCAAATTTTTCTTACAATGTACCTGTTAACATTTTATAAATTTTGCTTGAAATTGCCTACTTAATATTATCTGTTAGATTAAGGACCTGCACGGAACGCTGCGCGTACTAGTGGCTTTACAAGAATGTAAACACAACATGCTATGTACTCTCACAAACCTAATGTACCTTCTTGTACAGTACAGTATATAAATAAATAAATAAATAAATAAATAAATAAAGTAAATATTATTTATTTTTATAAAAGTAATAATTTTTAATAATAAATTACTTTTATTTCTATAAAGGAATGAATTTAATCCATCCCCAAAAATGCAACGTAACCTGAATATTTGTACACACAAGAAATAAGTGATAAGAAATAATGTAAATTGAATTAATCCATTTCGCACCCATATATAATAACTGGAAAGTACATTTTATACAGAATAATACTCATTTTTTTTTTTAAACACAAAACAATAAGGAAAAATATAATGTGTAAATAAAATAAAAGAACATTTAACTGGTTTACCTGTATTGAGGATTCTTGTCGGCATATGGAAGATGGTGAGGAGAGAGGGAGGCGGGTAGGTGTTAGTGGTTGGATGTGGAGTTCCCTTCCATTGTAAGATACATCAGGCACTGTTGACATTTCTGGAGTACTCTCTCTCTTGCGTTTTGTAGGCATACCACTCGGACCATGTTGTGGCTGTCTGGCTGTTTTTCTCACTAAATATCTGTCTAAAGACACTTGCTTTTGCCTACGTTTTAACAACAATTGTCTGTAGTAAAGCATAACAGTGTCATTAAAAAGGTTAAGGTAACGGCCTATTTTAGCATGCTCTGGGTGAGTCTTTTCAACTAAACTTTGAATTTCTTCCCATACTCTACACAACTTCTTAATTGTTGAGGAAGGGACATTCTGTACTGCCTCCTCCTCCTCCCCTGAAGAACTGGCCTCAGCTGTCTCTTGTTGCTGCTCCTTGTGAAGGGCTAGGAGTTCTTCGGTGGTCAGTTCTTCGCTGTGTTCCTCCACCAACTCCTCCACATCGGCACCATCCAACTCCAAGCCTAATCTCAGGCCCAGAGAAACAATTTCCTCGACAAGAGGCACTGCAGGTTCAAGCTCAAACCCCTCAAAGTCTCGTTCTGGATCACATACAGGCCACAAATTTCTCCAGCCAGAGATCATGGTTCTTTGAGTCACTTCTTCCCAGGCTTTGTCTATGAGACTTATACAACTCAAAATGTGAAAATGGCTTTTCCAGAACTCTCTGAGGGTGAGACTTGAGTCCGAAGTCTCTTCAAGACATCTCCGGAGAAGTGCCCTGGTGTAAAGTTTCTTAAAATTAGAAATTATTTTCTTGTCCATAGGCTGGATAGGAGTGGTGTTGGAAGGAAGGAACTTTATTGTAACAAAACTAAACTCCTCCAACAATGACTCCTCCAAGCCTGGAGGATGAGCAGGAGCATTGTCCAGGAGAAGCACGGCCTTGAGTGGCAAACTTTTCTCCTGCAGATATGTTCTGATGGCCGGGCAAAACACTTCATTAACCCACTCGGTAAAACATTGCCTTGTCACGCATGCCTTACTATTAGCCCTCCACATCACATTCAGTTTGTTTTTGTCCACATTATATTTTTTGAAAACACTTGGATTTTCAGAATGATAAACAAGCAAGGGTTTAATTTTCAAATCCCCACTTGCATTACCACACAGCACAAGAGTTAGCCTATCTTTCATGGGCTTGTGTCCGGGCAATGCCTTCTCCTCCTTAGTAATGTATGTCCTCTTTGGCATTTTTTTCCAGAATAGCCCCATCTCATTACACTTAAACACTTGTTGTGGTAGATATCCCTCACTCTCTACAAATTCTTTAAATTCAGCAGCAAATGTTTCTGCCACTTCTTTATCTAAGCTGGCAGCCTTCCCATTCCTCACAACACTATGAATACCACTTCTTTTCTTAAATTTCTCAAACCATCCCCTACTTGCCTTAAAGTCTATCGTATCTGCCTCACTCGTTCCGGGGCTTTTCTTTATAAGATCATCATGCAATAGTCTTGCTTTTTCACAAATGATAGTCTCTGAAAGACTATCACCCGATAATTGCTTGTCGTTTATCCAAGTTAACAATAACTTTTCCACATCCTCAAGTGTTTGTGGTCTTTGGTTCGTGATAATTGATACACCTTTTGCTACATTAGCACTCATAATGTCCTTTTTCTTAGCAATTAAGGTGGATATCGTTGACTGAGATTTGTTGTACTGTGTAGCAAGTTCAACAACCCGCATACCATTTTCATGTTTACGAATGATCTCTTGTTTTTGCTCTATTGTCATCTTCACATGTTTTCTCTTAGGTTGAACTTTACTATTGATTTTCTTGGGACCCATGGCGTGATATACACTAAGAACTTTTATGTTAAGCCACGAAAATAAGAACAAAAACGATGAATATGTTCAGAGAGAGACTACAAGCGCGGTTATCACTAGGCGAGTATGAGCCTAAACTGATCTTGATTTTACAACGACAAGTATGAACGAGCAGTTAGTAAGCTGAAGCGAACGTCGTACATTAAAGAATATTTTCCGAATAAATTGTCTTCATAAATCGTACTCAGGTGCAATCTTCCACAGAGCTTCGATTACCAGCGCCTTGGAGTGACGTCTTATTCATAGTCCTGACGGCATTATGAGTACCAGTCACTCTTTCTATTCCTCTTCACAATAACACAAGTTGCTGTCTCTTCTACTTGGCAATACGTGTAGTCTTATAACGGTTCTATTGTTACGTAAAGTATGGTAACAATAAACATAGACACTAAGAGAAGATTCGCTACTCTGCTTATATGCTCGGGCAACACCTCACCTCATACATCTCCAAAGACAAGAATATTAACTGCAAGTAGGGAAAGGTTTGTATCCATAATTAGTACTAAGAAGAGCTTTGCTTCTCTCGTTAGGCTAATGCTTCTGGAGCGAGTATATTATCGCTACAGTCTCCTCGAGTTCATAGTACGTGCAGTTTACGTGAAGGTTTTCGGCCCCACGTGAAGTCTCTCTTTGTTTACATCAGCAGATAGTTGGGCGGTTAGTTCCCAGAGTTGGGCGGTTAGTGCAAGGTGTCGAGCGGTTAGTTCCCAGAATTAGTACAAGGTGTCGAGCGGTTAGTTTTGTAATCTGATTGGTTTCTTAGGTTCTTACAACCCCTGAAGGCCTTGGCGTGCTGTGGAAAAGGGAGTGGGGGTCCCTGTGCTACTTGAATACTGTAATTAAGATTCCTTATTGATTATGCTGCACCTGTTATTTCTTGTTTTAGTAAAGGTAGGATGGGCAAGTTGGAGAAGGTTCAAAATGAAGCCATGAAAATTATCTTAGGATGCCTCAAGAAATGCTATTTTTGAGATAATGAGGATGGAGTAAAATCTGAAGAGTATTGAGTATAAAATTTCAGAGATAAATGTAGCCTCTGCCATTAGATTAATGAGAGGTGGGGGAGCTAATGAATTAATCCTCTCGGTTCAACAAGTGGGAAGTAATGATAAAGAAGAGAGCATATATGAGTACCTTATGCTCTAATGTTATAAAGTATGATGTTATTACAGAGTGTATTGATGTGCCTAAGAGACAATTCACACCACCATGGGAGGATTGTAATGTAGATGTAGTAATTACTCCCTTGCAAAAGAAAAAAGTATGTATGAAATAGGAGAGCTGAGGACAACATATGATTGTATAATTAGAAAACTGCCTACAGAAAACACTCTACATGTATATTGTGATGGGTCAGTAGCTAGGGATGGGAAGGCAGGATGTGGAGTCTTGATCAGGGAGTACACTGACATCGGCACTGTAGATACTGTTATTGGACGCCGCTTAACTGACAGTGTCTCTTCAACGCAGGCTGAACTCCAAGGTGTATTAGCAGGATTACAGGAAGTAGTCAAATGTGGTAAAAATGCTTGCTTCTTTATTGACAGCAGAGGAGCGTTAGAGTCTTTAAATAGCAGACGTCCAGTTTATCAGAATATTGTGATAGAGTGTAGAGAGAATGTTAAGAAATTAGAAAAAACTGGGTATAAAGTAAGATTCATGTGGATCCCTTCACATGTGGGAATACTGTTGAATGAAGTAGTTGATGACATAGCGAAAAAAGCCACGGAAAAAAACTCTTGTTGATGTTGTATGTCAGTTAACCTTGAAACAAATAAAAACAAGAATCAAGATGATCCAAGAGGGTGAAGAAATGATAAAGAGAATGGCAATAGTGGACAGTAGCAACACACTTAAGAATTATTCAGTAATAAATACAAATTCGTCCTTCACCTATGGTAAAGGAAAGTCTACTTGGAAGGATTCAATTTACATGAGATTAAAATTAGGATATAAATATATCTGGCAATACGGTGTTGATGTCAGTGAAAAAGATAAGGAGTGTAAATTATGTAGTATGCCGCACGCCCACACCTTAGATCATTATGTATTAGAGTGTCAACTTATTGATAACTATAGAAATAAGGAAATAAATAGTGTACCACATCAAATTGTTTGGATGTGTGATAATGGTATGATAGACAGTATACTTAGGAGCTACAAGAATTTTGCCCCAAGAACGTAACACTTATATGCTGTACTTACTATATTAACCTGCAATGTTAAATGGGATTCTTGTAATGTTATTTGTCTATTTGTACTCACTGAATTTGTGCGCCCCTTGAGGGACTTGAAGTAGAGGGGGTAGACATAGCCTAAGCTACTCTATCCCTTTGAGATGTATTTCTTGCTTATCTCAATAAACATACTTGAACTTGAGGACGTGAAACATCTTTTTCTGATCAGGGGGAGAAAGATACTGGCAGTATGGGGCTTTAAATTTATTGAAGATTAAATTCTGCAGAACATGTAAATATATAAAGTTTCAAATATATAAAGTAAGTAAATATATAAAGTTTATATTAAACACGGTTTATATTATAGACATATAAACAAAGTTTATATTATATTAAACTTAATATTGAACATGTAAATATATAAAGTTTCGAATATATAAAGTAAGTAATATATAAAGTTTATATTCAAATAAATAAAGTAAATATATAAAGTAAGAATTAACAGTAACAATTCCAAGGACTAGATTTAACTTAAAAGGTACACCCGTAGTAAGTATGAGACCTTAGCCTATAGTGACATGGAAACTAATTCTGCAGAAACCTAATGCTTAACTGGTACTAGAATTAAGGCCGAGTGCAAATGTGTAGTAATTATATAACACTAGGATATAACAGGCAGGACACAAAGAATAACTAATAAGTGAGAGACCACATAACACATAATGTACCCGGCCAAGAGGCCGTAAAAGACCTAATGAATAAGGAGAAGGGGGTGTGACTACAAGTAGGGCTTACTAGCACCTAGACTGGGCAAAGTATTAGCTGCGGACAGCGGGACACTTGGGGACCGGCGCTGCACCCCCCTTCCCACATGCAGTGGGGAGAAAAGGGGACAACTGTACAAAGCATGACGGGGGTACAAAGACAGCCGCTTGCAAAGGGGAGGTGGGTGGGCTTTGCGAGGGCAGCGGCGGGGGCAGGCGGAGTGAGGGCAGAGCCCCTCTGTTTCCCCGTATTTATACGCGCCCCAGACTGCCCGCGCAACGCCGCGGGACGCGCTGCGCAAATGTTTCTTTCTCCCCCATCAGAAACATCCCCGCTTGCAATCAAGCAGTGTCCATTTTACCATAGCTGAAGAACACCTGTTACACTATGTGAGAAATATCTGTTACCTTGGCAGAAAAGTTTTGAACGTTATTATTACAATTTTCTCCAAATATTAAGACAGACCCCAAGTTGTTTATGCTTATTTTTACCTGTATTTACCAGAGGGCCACCGATTTTCTAGTGGCCTTGACCAGGACAGGAAGCCGGCGGCTTGTCAGACACCTCCACCCCATTTGTCTTCATGATTTTATCGAGGTTTTTTTATCACTGCTGAATTTTAAAATTCAGCAATGTTTTGGCATTTACGGTTTCGGCGGGTAGGCAGTTCCATGGGTTTATAACCCTGTGGGGCGAAAAAGCATCAGCTTTCTGTCTTACATTGTGGCTTCTTGTGCTTGAAACAGTTGGATCCTTAAAAGATGAGATCAGGGAAGTTATAATTGTTGATAAAGAGGCAGCCAACTTCTGAGTTAATACTTTACATCACTGTTAACACCGGAAATAGTAGACATTAGAGGGCGCCCGGTGGCTAAGTGTTCAGCACTTATCACGACTCGTAATCCTCGGGACCGGGGTTCGATCCCCCGGCAATGACGGAAAAGAAATAGGCAGAGTTACTTTCACCCTGATGCTTCTGTTCACCTAGCAGTAAATAGGTATCTGGGAGTTAGATAGCTGCTATGGGCTGCTTCCTTGGTGTGTTTATTCACTTAGTTGTTCTAGCGGGGGTTGTAATATGCAAATTACATACGTCTTAATGAAAAAGGCAGAAAGAGCTCAAGAGAAAATACTCAGGCTTTCTGTTTTTGACTAAACAAATTATTATGTATTTCCAGATTCGTTTTTACCAGGTCTTTTTTAAGTCTAAACTTACCCCATTTATATCCATTGTTTCATACTCTGTTTTGTGTTGGTTTATTTAACATATTATTATCTCCTTTGTTAGGAAATGTAGATGTTTATCTCTCAGAATGTTTGGTAATATGTTTATTGTTTGTGATGTGTGTCTATGTATGTATTAACACGATGTACTGAACGGGGTGAGAATAGCTTCAGCTACCTCATCCCTTTGTGTGTATTTTACCTCAATAAACTTATTTCAATTTCAATTTCAATCTCCTTTGTTATTTCCTTTTGTCCATTTGTATACTATACTACGTCACCCATAACTCATTGCCTTTCCAGAGAATATAAATGAACCATTTTTGAATCTCTCTTCATATATAATAATAATAATAATAATAATAATAATAATAATAAACAAAATATTTCTAATTCCAAGAGTTTCATCTTATCACCCTTCTCTAACCTCGTTAGTGAATTCCTGTGTAGTATGGCGACCAAAACTGAACTGCATCATACAAATGGGGCTGAAGAATAACATTGTTTTACTACTAACACTTCTAGAAATAAATCCCATTTACCTCATTCCCATCATTTATGTATTGATTACCTTGCCTGAGGACCACCTGTTACCTCATTACCTTGGCTGAGGACCACCTGTTACCTCATTACCTTGCCTGAGGACCACCTGTTGCTTCATGACCTTGGCTGAGGACCACCTGTTGCTTCATGACCTTGCCTGAGGACCACCTGTTACCTCATTACCTTGCCTGAGGACCACCTGTTACCTCATTACCTTGGCTGAGGACCACCTGTTACCTCATTACCTTGCCTGAGGACCACCTGTTGCTTCATGACCTTGGCTGAGGACCACCTGTTGCTTCATGACCTTGCCTGAGGACCACCTGTTACCTCATGACCTTGCCTGAGGACCACCTGTTACCTCATTACCTTGCCTGAGGACCACCTGTTACCTCATGACCTTGCCTGAGGACCACCTGTTACCTCATTACCTTGCCTGAGGACCACCTGTTGCTTCATGACCTTGGCTGAGGACCACCTGTTGCTTCATGACCTTGGCTGAGGACCACCTGTTGCTTCATGACCTTGCCTGAGGACCACCTGTTGCTTCATGACCTTGGCTGAGGACCACCTGTTGCTTCATGACCTTGGCTGAGGACCACCTGTTGCTTCATGACCTTGCCTGAGGACCACCTGTTACCTCATGACCTTGCCTGAGGACCACCTGTTACCTCATTACCTTGCCTGAGGACCACCTGTTACCTCATGACCTTGGCTGAGGACCACCTGTTACCTCATTACCTTGCCTGAGGACCACCTGTTACCTCATGACCTTGCCTGAGGACCACCTGTTACCTCATGACCTTGGCTGAGGACCACCTGTTACCTCATTACCTTGCCTGAGGACCACCTGTTACCTCATGACCTTGCCTGAGGACCACCTGTTACCTCATTACCTTGCCTGAGGACCACCTGTTACCTCATTACCTTGGCTGAGGACCACCTGTTACCTCATTACCTTGCCTGAGGACCACCTGTTACCTCGTTACCTTGGCTGAGGATCACCTGTGACCTCATTACCTTGTGGTGACATTGGGGTCACAACTGAGACGTCCTGCCTGGGTTTAATTCCCATAGCAAGACATAAGGCCTTGTGCAGTTTTGTTTATACACCTGATTCTTCTCTTCACCCAGCAGTAAATAGGTACCCTGGGAGTTAGGCAACTATTGTGGGTTGCATCCTGGGGAGGGTCAGTGGCCTAGAAGGAACCTCAATATACATAAAGGCTTCCTGTCCCAAACTGGAAAACATAAGATGAACTAGATACTAAAATGTGGATAGGAGTTGTGAAAACAAGTACTAGACAATAAACATTGTATTGTTTAGCTGATTTACCTGAGGGCCACTAACCCTAGTGGCCTCGATAAGGACAGGAAGCCGACGGCTGGTCAAAGGTTTTCCCCCTCCCCTTTGCCTTGATCTTTTCCAGATATATTTTTTAAATCCAGCAGTGTTTTGGCATTTAGGTCTTGGGCGGGTAGGCGGTTCCATGGGTTAATAACCCTGTGGGTGAAAAAGCATCTCCTGTTCTCATTTCTACATTGTGGCTTGTTGAGCTTGAAATATTTCTACATTGTGGCTTGTTGAGCTTGAAATATTTCTACATTGTGGCTTGTTGAGCTTGAAATCATTACATTGTGGCTTGTTGAGCTTGAAATCATTACATTGTGGCTTGTTGAGCTTGAAATCATTACATTGTGGCTTGTTGAGCTTGAAATCATTACATTGTGGCTTGTTGACCTTGAAATCATTACATTGTGGCTTGTTGAGCTTGAAATCATTACATTGTGGCTTGTTGACCTTGAAATCATTACATTGTGGCTTGTTGAGCTTGAAATCATTACATTGTGGCTTGTTGAGCTTGAAATCATTACATTGTGGCTTGTTGACCTTGAAATCATTACATTGTGGCTTGTTGAGCTTGAAATCATTACATTGTGGCTTGTTGACCTTGAAATCATTGCTTTGTGCCAAAATGTGAAGAAATAGGAATCATTAAAAATTTATTTCACAATAAAATTGCAATACAATGCATATTTACAGAAAGATGCAAATTCAGTAGACGTTCATGGGAGGAAATGGTATACATTAACTGAAAATTTTATCAAATAGAAATTATTTTGGAAAGAGGTAAAGCACAGAGTCATTAAATACAGTTAAGATTGTCAATAACTAGCATATAAGGTGTAATGAGCATATAAGGACAATAATTATATATGTACATACATTATCCATACTTTTTTGAGGTGGGGAGGCAAATACTGTATAATGAGTAGGCCGGAGATATTAAATAATAACCATTGAAAATATTACTCATCCATTCATTGTATCATTCACCATACAATGGGTCAATGCTCTAATAACGAATTCCTGGATGGTCCAAACAGTGCCTTCGATGCAAATTGTTCAGTGGAACAAATAAATATTACAGGTTGTTCAGTAAGCAGTTAGATAGAAGTATTTGGGCAATGTTTCCTGTCACCTGATGCCTTTGTTCACCTAGCAGTAAATAGGTACCCAGGAGTTCCCCCAACTGTTACAGAATTACATGATTATAATGATTATCTTCATCATTATCATCTCCTCCTCCAGATCACAACTCTGATCTCCATATTGGTTCCTTTTTAAAGTCATCCTAAAATCTTATGTTGGGTTTTTGTCGTTTTTACGAAAATTTCCCGTAGTTTCTTCAACCTGATCACATTGTCCCACACTGTTGTTTTTCTTCTCATATGGCTATAGAACAGCTCACTATGTTCGCATAGTTAATATATTAGTATCTTTCAACTGCTGTACATATTCAATCAGGTTTATTATGTAATAATACAGTACCAGAACTGTATCTTCAATAATCACCCACACTCTTCATGCTATCTGCTGATGCTTGTATGCAAGGACATATACCTCCCAACCCAACCTCTTGTATAATTAAACCCTAAAAAGAATTTGTTTAATTTTATTGTAATAAACTGCATTACAAAATAAAAGAATTATGTTTTATAGCAAAATACTTATAAAAAACTTTTATTTACAGAATAAAAAATGCCCTTAACTAGACTGTCTTAAAGAAGCCTGTAAATTTTTATTGTGGGAACAAGCACTGATGGGCCTGATGTAAATTTCACAGACTTTTCTTAAGAGACGGATGGCTTCTGAAGCTCGCTTAAAATTGGGGTCACTGTCAGCAATTTCAACACTGGAGATCATATAGTCAACAAACTGCCTCATTGACGATAATGGTATCTGTGTAATGGAATTATCTTCAGAATCATCATCCTGTCCCTCATCGGCTTCTACAGTGGTCAGCTCAAGGACGTCTTCTGGTGTCATAATGTTGTGATGACTCTCCAGATGCTTCACGATGTCCTCGGCCACCAGGTCACCAAACCCTTGTCCAGGGATGCTGTTGGCAATCTCCACAATGCTGCGTACCTCTACCTGCGTGTCAGGAAAACCAAGAAAGTCAGGCATGATTTCAGGCCAAAGGTTCTCCCATGCATCCTTAAGGCAAGTGGGATCAACGTTCTCCCATATGTCAGTGATGATGGAAACTGCATTTCTCATATTAAACTTTTTCCAAAATTCAACCACTTTTTCTCTACTTTTGCCCTTGCCTTCAGTGTAGAGAAACATCTCCCAGAGAACTTGCCTAGTGTACAGTTTCTTGATCTGCGCTATCACTCCTTGTTCGAGCGGCTGCAGCAGAGAGCTGGTGTTAGGAGGAAAGAACTCGAGGCGGTATCCGTCGCTGTCAGCAGTGCCCCTCAGGGCTTGAGGGTGACTGGGAGCACTGTCAACAAACAAGATGGCTTTGCTTGGTAGATTTTTAGACCTCAGGTACTTGTCCACGGCAGGAATGAAGTTATGCTGGTACCAGTCGGCAAATATTGTTGAGGTCACCCAAGCTTTGTTGTTAGCTCGCCATACCACAGGCAGACGGGTGACATTCTTGAGCGCACGAGGACGATGGGACCGGTATACCAGGACAGGAGGAAGCTTGAAGTCCCCGGCAGCATTTGAGCAGAATAGCAAAGACAGACGGTCCTTAGAAGCCTTGAAACCCAAAGTTGCTTTTTCCTCCTCCATCAAGAAGGTCTTACTGGGCAGACGCTTCCAGAAGAGGCCAGTTTCACCTGCGTTAAACACCTGTTGAGGATATATTTTGTTATAAAAATTACTAATGCTTCTGCTGGTTGACAAATTTGATAAAAAGTTACCCTTAATAAAAGATATGCTCCAATGAGTCTTTAATTAAATATATTACAAAACCCAGTAATAATTAAAGTCTATACAACAGTTGAGGATATAATATAATTCAAAATATGGCCAAAGCAAATATTTTGTAAAATTGCTAAAACTTCAAACGAATGACAAATTTGATTAATAAAAATATATTGTTCTCTTAAGATATGCCTTAATGAGTCTGTTAATTTTTTTTAGTTCTTATTCAATTAACAATGCTAGTTTTTACACACCTGCTCAGGAGAATAGCCTTCCTCCTTGATGATTGCTGCAAACTCAGCAGCGTACAATACTGTAGCATTATGGTCAACAGGAGTGCGAGATGATGAACCAGTATGGTTAAGAGCAGGGCGAGCTGATGAACTGGTATAGTTACCAGCAAGGCAAGATGGTGAACCAGCAGCAGTGCTGAGAGATGATGAATCATTATGGTTAGCAGCAGGGAGAGACGATGAACCAATATGGTTAGCAGCAGGGAGAGACGATGAACCAATATGGTTAGCGGCAGGGAGAGACGATGAACCAATATGGTTAGCGGCAGGGAGAGATGATGAACCAATATGGTTAGCAGCAGGGAGAGATGATGAACCAATATGGTTAGCGGCAGGGAGAGGAGATGAACCAATATGGTTAGCGGCAGGGAGAGATGATGAACCAATATGGTTAGCGGCAGGGAGAGATGATGAACCAATATGGTTAGCGGCAGGGAGAGGAGATGAACCAATATGGTTAGCGGCAGGGAGAGATGATGAACCAATATGGTTAGCGGCAGGGAGAGACGATGAACCAATATGGTTAGCAGCAGGGAGAGATGATGAACCAATATGGTTAGCGGCAGGGAGAGACGATGAACCAATATGGTTACCAGCAGGGAGAGATGATGAACCAATATGGTTAGTGGCAGGGAGAGATGATGAACCAATATGGTTAGCAGCAGGGAGAGATGATGAACCAATATGGTTAGCAGCAGGGTGAGACGATGAACCAACATGGTTAGCAGCAGGGTGAGACGATGAACCAATATGGTTTTTGATTGGGCAAGACAATAGACCAGTGTGTTTAGTGGCAGGGTGAGATGATGTGCTAGTATGGCTTGTAGTAGGGTAATAAGTGGATGGAGTACTAGTGAGGTTAGTGATAGGGTGAAACAATGTGTATGTATGGTTAGGGCGAGATGGTGCTTCGGCACTGCCAGTGTCGGCACTTATCTCCTGCGTCACAATATGTAGTCCATGACGTTTCTTAAAGCTGCTCAGCCAACCATATGAAGCATAGAATGATGTGCCAGAGGCCCCCATCTTCTTGTCTATGCCTGCCTGTATCTTAGTGGCCTTCTTGCAGATAATAGTACCATTGACAGGAATGTTTTTCTTCTGTTGATCCTTTATCCAAAGGTACAGAGCTCTCTCCATCTCCCTGAAGCATTCACCCCCGAGGGACTTCTCATCACTGGATAAAGTTTTCACTGTTGTGGCTTGTCTTATATCTCTCTCTTTTTTGGAGGTACGAATGGTCGACTTGTCAACCTGTTAAAAAAAAAGGTTGACTAAACATCAAAATTGCTGTTTAAATTTGTTAATCACAAATACAATAACTGATTGATACTCTTTATGTGCCATTATGGTGAGGGCACTGTTTCAAGTATCATCAGCATCACTACTCTATCTCCCACTTCGATAGGTTAGGGAGGCATCGAGTTTAAGAAAAACTGCGAGTAGTACACGAAACAACATACATCGTTGTTCACACTAATCTCATGAACAACATACATCGTTGTTCACACTAATCTCATGAACAACATCCGTCACTGTTCACACTAATCTCATGAACAACATCCGTCACTGTTCACACTAATCTCATGAACAACATCACTCTCCATCACAGTAACTCTACTCAAGTCAACCACAATAAAAACTTAAATTAATAAAAAACCAGTGTCTAATTTAATGAAATACCATTTTCTGGGTGAGCCCCCGAGGCTCCCCGGAGTTTACCGGGCTCATATGTATTTATTAGACCGTGGCATCGGTAGATTTGAGTTCTTGCCTGCCGTAGATCATAAGCCAGAACCTGGCCCCCTCAGAGAGGCATGAGGAACAATGGCCTATGGAAACCCCCATGTACAGTATTTGGAAGCATTCCGAATCTGCCATCGACCAGCGTCTGGCACCCAGAAAGGTAGGTGTAACAAAACAAACCCCACATTTTGTAAAAATTGCTAGCAAAACCTGAACAGAGAGGCAGAACTCCAAAACCAAAACAAGCAAACATCACTAATGTCGTCCCACCGAATACCCGTGCCGGCCGCTATAGCATTTCAGGCCGAGCATCAAAAACAAATAAAAAAAAAACGCCGGAGGGAGGGTACCGGGAGCCTCCATGGCTCACCCAAAAAATGGCGTTTCATTTCATTCAACGCTAGTTTTCTTGGGGGGAGTCCCTTCAGCTCCCCGGAGCCAACTACCCACATAGGAAAAACCTTAGGGACTTACCCGGGAGGCGGTCGTTGCTCACTCCCCAACTCGAAGTCGAGACAACTGGCTGCAACCGCCAACCCAAAGCGACTCAGGCCCGACTAGACCCAGGGATGTTCACAAGGTAACGAGCAGCCAGGACTCTGTTCGACCGCCAAAAGCCCCGAGCCCGAATGTCAGCCCATGACATGTTGCCAAAAACGGCAGCAAGAGCAGCGAACTTACGAATGTCATGGGCACGGGGATAGACCGCAGGCTGGCTAGCATTAATAACTCTGAGGATGACCTGGGAGACCCGCACCTGCGAACAGGGAAGAAGGGAAACTGGATCAACCCAAAGCGCGTCCCCGGGCACAGAAGCCGTGGCGCGCAAATAACAGCGAAGAGCCGCAACCGGACACAAAACATGAAGCACCCCCGGCCTAAGCAACCAAGTATCCACAATCCAAGGACCCCTTCAGAAAGCAGTAGTCTCATTCTTCGCCAGAAAAGAAGGAGACGGCTGCAAACGAACAAAACTATCACAAAGACCGAAAGAGCAGAGCAGAAACCCCTGCACCGGAGGAGAGCATGCAGCTCACCAACCCGACCCCCAGAGGCCAATGCCAACAAGCGCATGTGCAGGCCGGAGGTGAAACAACGCCCGAGACAGCTTGCAAAATGGTGCAGAAGTAACATCAATACCGAAAGCAAGCTGTAGCGGCTCCGCCAGCACCGCACGATACGAGGCGACAGTGTTAGGCATAAGGTGACGGTCCTGGAACAACCAAAAGAGAAAGGACAACACCACCCTAACAGAAAGCGAAGTACAACGATAAAGACGCAGGAAGAAATGGAAGGACCGCCAGGAAGCTTCGTACTGCCGCCGAGACGAAACCCGCAGGTGGGACACTAATAAGGAAGCCACCTGATCACCATAGAGATGATGATAAACTCGAGTCAAAAACACCATACGCGAAGACTCGAGGCGAAGATTGAACCAGCCATGTGACATTCCGGTCCAATCTGCTGGAAAAGGCGGAGCCGCGGGAAAACCTCCGGGTTCGGACACCGGGCAAGCAGCGCCTGAAGCCACGGCTGGGCCGGCCACCACGGGGCCAAGAGGACAACTCTCCCCTGGTAGGTTTCCAAGCATCCAAGCAAGTCAGGACCTGGAGCAACAGCTGAACCAGGGGAAAGAGGTACAGGAACCCCCCACCTCGACCAGTCCTGCTGAAAGGCATCCACCCCGACAGCCTCGCAATCGGGGAAGGGCTCTACTTACTGGGGAAAGCGCCGCGACCACGCCAATGCGAAGAGGTCCACCTTGGGGCACCCGAACATTTGGCAGAGCCAACGGAAGGAGCCGGCATTGATCGTCCATTACGTGGAGAGGGGAACGAAACGGGACAGGCCGTCAGGTACGACGTTGGACACACCCCGCACGTGAACTGCCAGGAGAGCCAAACCCCGAGAACTCAGCAGACGAGTCACCCGAAGCGACCAGCGCCAAAGAGCCAGGGACCGCATTGAACTCCCTCAGTTCAGACAATGAACCACCGGCGAGCCGTCCGAATGGAGCCTGATCGTCTATCCGCAGGCGACCCGAATCCTCCGAAGCGCAAACCACACTGCTGCAAACTCCTGCATGGTGCTGTGGGCTCGACGGAAGGACGGACCCCACCGGCTCTCGCCGGCCTGGTGAGCACTGGTCACAAAGCCCCAGCCAAGAGACAACGCATCTGTGAACACATCGAGTGAGGGCTCGGGCAGGCACCAAGGCACTGAACCCCGAAAAACCAGAAGAGGAAGCTGGCGACGCAGCAGCCGACACAAAGTCCCCAGGGGTCGAACCCTGCAATTGCAAGAGAGGTGGAAAGGACATCCCCGAAGGAACCAGAACAGCCCACGAAGCCAAACTCGACCCAGTGGGTAGACCAACATCGTGAAGTTCAGGCTCCCGAACAAACCCTCGAGCAACTGCCGGGTGATCCGGGAGCCCCCAGAAACAGGTGCAAGTGGGACCGCAGCCGAAGGAGAGACTCCGGAGGAAGAGACAAGGAAGCGATCCGAGAGGCCACACAAGACCCAGCCAGGACCGAACCTGAGAGGGCACCAGATGGGACTTCCTCCTGTTCACCAAGAACCAGAACCCGGCAAGCTGGGAAAGAACCAAATCCCTGGCTAGCAGACAACTGGACCGGCTGAGAGCCCAAACCAGCCAGTCGTCGAGGTAGGCCAACACCCAAACACCTAAAAGATGCAGATGGGCCACAACGACCCCCGTGAGGCATGTGAACACGCGAGGTGACAGGTTCAACCTGAACAGGAGACAACGAAAGCGGTAACCTTGATGCCCCAAAACAAACCCGAGCCAGTCCCTGAACCCCGGATGAATCGGGACGTGCCAATAAGTATCCCGGAGGTCCAGGGACACCATCCAAGAACCCGGTTCCAACAGTAGCCAAACTTGAGACAGTGTAGTCACCTGAAAGGAGGGGCAATGAACCCAGGGGTTCAGACAGAACAAGTCCAGAATGGTCCGCTGGCCCACAGAGTCCTGTTTCGGCACTGGAAACCTGGAAACAGACGGGAAACCCATCTGAGGCACGACGTCGTTTCAATGACACCCAAGCGAACCCACTCCAAGACGATTCGACGGAGCGCAAGCCTGCCCCGTCAGTCCCGAACCCCCCCCCCCCCGTTGGGGGAGGGGCCACCCAACGCCACCGCAACGCAGGCCAAAGGAAACAACCCGAAACGCCCACAAGCTGTCGGACCAGGCATGAGCAAACAGTGCTAGCCTCCCCTCCATCGCCCTGTCAATAGGGCGAACCGCAAAAGGGCCGGCGCCCCTTACGAGACCCAGAACCCTGAACAGGGCGAACACGGCGCCAAACAGCCGAAGGCGGAGCCAAACCCGAACCTGGCACCAGTGGCCTACTACGAGTGGAACCCCGAGCCCTGGCACGACCCCTCCTGGAAGGATCACCCCGGGACCCCCGGAGAACCAACAAGTCCAACATCGGATGGCAACTGGCCGAAGCAGCCTGAATATACAGTACTGCGCCACAGCCGCCGGAGCAAAAAGCAGCGGACAAAAGGGTGAAGACAACCTAAAAGCCAGGGGGCCCAGGCCGATTCCAGAGAGGAGGCAAGCACCGCCTGTCGACACGCGAGCTGGAAGCGTAAAACTGGACAACCGTATCCCTCAAGATCGGCACAAACAGCTTCAACAAGGCAGCCGACGCACGAGCAGCAGAGCCCAAGGCACCAGACCCCAGAACAGTCCCGAGCGCCCCCCTGTCCTCCCCTAGCCAGTCCGAAGACAGCTCCGGGAGAGAAAAGAAGCACAAGGCCGAAGCCAAGAGGCCCCTGGCGCCCAAATCCTCGGCCACCTGCGCAGCCGAAAGGGAGGGAATCTGCACATGGAGCTGCAGAACACCAACATCCTGGGGAAGGGCAGGAGCAAACAAGCACTCATTGATGTGCTCAAGGTTGCCCCCCCCAGGAAAACCTGAACCACAGGAGAAACCTCGTGCCACTCAAGCATGCGGGAATGACTAAAAGGAATGCCAGGCCTCCAAAGCAAAGACAGGACAGTCCGCCAGCCAGAACGACTCCGGAATGGACCCAGAAAGAGAACCAAGTCCCAAACCTGAAAGGCGACGGATCCATCACGGAGGCGTAATCCGGGTCACGCAGGAGGTAAGCCGCAAGGCCTGCCCGCATCGCAGCTGGTTGTATGCGGGAAGCTGAAAACCTCATGAAAGATGGAACCGACGCACCCGAGGGGACACGGAACCGAACCCGGGGAGGGGCAGACACCAAATCCAAGTCGTACGAGGAGGGGGGGAAAAAGAGAACCCCACACCTTGTAACAATAAGTCCCGTTCCAAGGGTAGAAAAACCCAGGCTGGATCAAGCGGGGCCCAAGGTCCCCAAGTCAGCCCCTCCCCAGCTCCAGGATCCCCCTCCTCGGGACCAGGGGCTGAGTCATTCCCCAGAGCACCGGCCCCTAAAGAAAAGGCCGGTGCAGCCGAGTAAGCCGAACAGAAGGGGGCCCACTGGCTTCAGCTGGGAGATGGGAATCGAAGGCCTCCATCGCCACACCGGAAGGGGCATCCCCTGAGACTGCCCATGACTCAAGACCATCTAAACCCTGCCCCAACTCCGAAACCCTCAGACGTTTCAGAGCTGGAAGCAGGGGGTGGGGACCAGAACGAACCACAGAAGGGAAAGGACGAGGAGGCGCGGACTGAACCAAAGTCGAAGCGACCCCAACCCCCAAGTCAGAGTCCCTATAAGCAAAACGGGACAGCCTCAGGGCATCCGAGTGAGCAACCAACCTAGCGGGTTGCAACAACCTAAAACGCGCATGCAATGCATGCGCCACCTGTACCCGCATAAGATCATCTGTGGACTGGGTAAATTGAGTCACCAGCAAACAGGACTCAGAGTCGAAAGTGTTGCCGACCCAACAGGCAGCGTGACGGAGGCAAAAATCATGAGGGTCACCCTGAGTCAAGGGGACCGAGCAACCCTCAAACTCGCATGAAGCGAGGGGGGCTCCGGGGACACATCCATCGGACCCATGCGTCCCCTAGGGGATTCCCAGGGTCCTGAGCGCTTACTATAAGAGAACTCGCGCCCCAGGTAAGCCCAGGCAGGGTATTGCTAACTCGAAGGCCCAGACTGGAGGCCCAAAACTATCAAACAACTTTCTAAAACTGAACCCCAGGGATGTGTACACTCACGGGGATCTAGCAGGGGGCACCACCGAAGTAATAGTGCATAGGCAGGCCCAATGAGGACAAAGCAAGGCAGACCGCCCCCCACAAGGCTCTAAACAGAAAGAAAAACAAAACCCCGCAAGAGGACAACCCATCCCAAGGAACAGAGCCGACCGCCGTGAATGGTGACAACTAACTGCGCAGCAACCTGCGCCCCTCCAGTGCAAACTGCCTCTTACCCTAAGGTAAACAAGGAAGACAAAACCCCCAAGCACCCAAAGGGCAGCCAAAAAACTGAGCAGTCAGACGGCCTCACAGAAGCAAGTCCCGAGGAACTTGTGGAAGGTGGCCCGAAGCCCCAAGGGCAGTACTTACAGGGCACCTAGGGACGATAGCCCTAGGTGCATGCAGCCCGAGTTCCATGGAATAATTCCTGGCTCTCACACCCCTGGAAGACAGCCACCACACGCTAAGTACAGGGCTGAAAAACTCTGGAGCCAAGCACACGACCACTGCCTCTAGCATCAGTCTGAGAACAAAGGGTGGATAGCCGGCGTGAGGGGTCTGGGGCTCCCCCCTTCCTCCTCCCGGGGAGGGGGGGGGGGCTGCGCAGACAGCGGCGCAGCGACGTGTCATGTCATGATCATTTGCTCGTTTATTGAGGGGAGTTCTATCCACTTGTTTGGCTTTTGGTAGCAAATTTTCACCAGAATAGGGGTTTGTTTTGGGATGCTTACCTTTCCGGGTGTCTGACCCGGTCGATGGCAGACATAGAATGCTTCCAACCACACGAGGGTTTCTAAAGGCCATTGCTTCCCTTGCCTCTTCTGAGGGGGCCAGGTTCTGGCTCATGGTAGGCCCATAAGAACTTCATACACATGACTGATGCCAAAGTCTGACATAAACATATCAGCCTAGTAAGCTCCGGGGAGCAGAAGAGGCTTCCCCCAGAAAAGAAGGAGACAGCTGCAAACGAACAAATCTTCCGTCAGGACCGAATGAACAGACACATCTGCGCATCAAATGACTAGGCAAATATTAGGCATCAAATGACAGTCCTGAAAAAGCCAAGAAAGAAAGGAAAAGACAACCCTATCTGAAATAGAGGACAGCCGATGAACAGAGAGAAAATGGTGAAAGAGCGCTAGGAAACTTCATACTGTCGCCGAGACGAAGCTTGCAGGTGGGACACCATCAACGAAACCACCTGATCACCATACAAGTGGTGATAGACCCGCGTCAGAAAGACCAGATGCGAAGAACCGAAGAGAAGACCAAACCAGCCAGGTACCTGACTGGGCCAATCTGCCGAAAGAGGTGGAGCCGTGGAAAACATCTCGGGTTCGGACACTGAGCAAGAAGCACCTGAAACCAAGGCTGGGCTGGCCACCAGGGAACCCCACCTCAACCAGTCTGCCGGGAAGTGTCTACCGCGAACCCACGCAGTCAGGGAAGAGTGTCCACATACACAGGAAGACACCCAGATCACGCTGATGCGAAGAGGTCCACTTCTGGGAGCCCATACATTTAGCAGAGTCAACTGAAGGAGTCGGCGTCGACTGTCCACTCCGTAGACAGGGGAATGAACCAAGACAGGTCCTTTGCCAGGACATTGGACATCCACCAGACAAGAACCACAAAAAGAGCCAAACCCTGAGAATTCCAGCAGACGAGTCACTCGAAGAGACCAGCCCCAAAGAGCCATGGACAGAAGAGAACCCCTGCGATTTAGGCAGTGAACCACCAGGAAACCATCTGAATGGAACGGATTGTTGACCCCTGGAGTGATCCGAATCCTCTGAAGCACCAGCCAAACAGCTGCGAACTCCTGCACCGTGCTGTGAGTCCGACGGAAAGACGGAGCCTACAGCCCCTGGCTGGCCTAGTGAGCACTGGTCATGAAGCCCTAGCCAAAAGACGAGCATCCGTGAACACATTGAGTGAGGCCTCGGGTAGGCGCCACGATACTGAACTGAACTCAACAATCGTGAGAGCGGCGGAAGGGAGATCCTCGAAGGAACCAGAACAGACGCCGGAGCCAAACCCAACCCAGCGGGTAAAGGAGTACGGCAAAGTTCAAACTCACGCACAGCTGCTCAAGCAACCACAGAGTAACCCGGGAGCCCAGGAGCCCCAGGAGAAGGTGGGACTGCAGCTGCAGCAAGAACATCAGAGGGAGTGACAAGGATGCTGTCTGAGTCCCACACAAGACCAAGCCAAGACTGAACCCAGGACAGAACCAGATGGGACTTCCTCTAGTTCACAAGGAACCCAAACCCAGCAAGCTGGGAAAAACCAAATCCCTGGTGAGCAGACACGCGGACTGGCTGAGAGCTCACACCAGCCAGTCGTCGAGGTAGGCCAGAACCCAAACCCCTAACAGATGCAGACAGGTCACCACGACCTGGGTGAGACAAGCGAATACACGAGGTGCCAGATTCAGGCCAAATGGAAGGCAACAAAAGTGGAAAGATTGCCACCCCACCACAAAACCTAACCAGTCCATAAACCCCGGATGAATCAGAACGTGCCAATACACGTCCCGGAGGACTAGATACACCATCAAAGCATCCGGCTCCAAAAGAAGTTGGACCTGGGAAGGAGTGGTCATCTGAAAAGATGGGCAAAAGATCCAGGGGTTCAGGTGGGATAAGTCCAGAATTAACCTCAGCTCTGCACAGTACCATTTCGGGACTGGAAACAGGTGGGAAACCCACCTGAGGGCCGCGGTCGTTTTCACCAAGCCCAAGCGCACCTACTTCAAGATGACCCAACAGAGCGCAGGGAAAGAGGCCTGCCCTGAAAGAAGAGCCACCCAACGCCACCATAGGCCGGAAGAGATGACCCGAAGGACACGAATCGTGGGACCAGACGTGAACAAACAGCGCGAGCCTCCCCCCATCAACGAGGTGACCCACGATAGGGCTGAAGCCTTTCACAAGAAGCCGGCCTACGAGCAAAGCAACCACTGTGCCGACCAGACACAGTGGCCCACCACTACTAGGAAAACCCTGAAACCTGGCACAAAAGAGGGTGGGGGAAGGGGGGGGGGGGTAACTATATAAACAAGTATAATTAAATTTAATTAATACTTTTTTTGGATACTTGGGAATGCATTTGTTATCTATTTTGGTGTTACCAATTGTGTGTGTCCGTGTTATTAGCAGTGATCATGCAGGCAAGCCCTCAACAGCTTCCCGTAGCTTAAGAGCTCCACCATGTCTAAATCCAGCTCTGCTTGACAACACCCGTCTAACTGGCAGCCATAAGCCACCCACAACAGTTGTGTAACTCCGGCAGCCATAAGCCACCCACAACAGTTGTGTAACTCCGGCAGCCATAAGCCACCCACCACAGTTGTGTAACTCCGGCAGCCATAAGCCACCCACCACAGTTGTGTAACTCCGGCAGCCATAAGCCACCCACCACAGTTGTGTAACTCCGGCAGCCATAAGCCACCCACCACAGTTGTGTAACTCCGGCAGCCATAAGCCACCCACCACACTTGTGTAACTCCGGCAGCCATAAGCCACCCACCACACTTGTGTAACTCCGGCAGCCATAAGCCACCCACCACAGTTGTGTAACTCCGGCAGCCATAAGCCACCCACCACACTTGTGTAACTCCGGCAGCCATAAGCCACCCACCACACTTGTGTAACTCCGGCAGCCATAAGCCACCCACCACAGTTGTGTAACTCCGGCAGCCATAAGCCACCCACCACAGTTGTGTAACTCACTTACCTGAACTTGACGACTTCTCATCTGGCCACAGCTGGACATTTTGTGCAACATGTCCACAGAGTCACTGTTAATGCAGGGCCAGTCTTTGCCTTTTGTTTTGCGCTCTCCCTCATTGTCTCGAGGAGATGGGGCTTTCATCTTGCCCTTTTCTCCTGCTCGTACATCTTTAGCTGCACACTCTTCATGTTCTAATGGCTCTGTCGAGAAATAACTAGACTAAAAGATGGCAATGTGTGAAAATAAAAATAAAAGTCTTTCTGATCCATTTCCCTAGTTTGCTCCAAGCCAAAAACCTTGACCTTAGGGTCAAGGTTTTGTCAGCTATGTCACCTCTGACGACTTCATTCCCTCTGGTCTTCCCAGTACTCTGTCGTACAATGCTTTGAAACTACTGACGGTTTTGGTGTCCTGTCCCTCAAGTGTTCAGCCATCCCACCCAACTGTCATTCCGAGTATGTTGGAGAAAGATATGATTTAGGATAAAACCCACACTTGTGTACTTGTGAAATTTATGTAAAGAATTTAAATCAAGTCTTTCGCACTCTCCTGAGTGCCTTGTCAAGGTCTGAGTGTGTGGTTAAGTTGAGACTTACATCTCAACATCTAATCAGCGCAAAAAGATGTTGAGATGTAAGTCTCGTCCTTATCACATTCTCAAGACCTTGACAAAGCACTCAGGAAAGTGTGAAAGATTTGGTGTAAATCTTTTGTGTAAAGAAATTTGTGTAAAGAATTTACACAAATTTCACAAATAAACAAGTGTGCATTTTTATCCTATGTTATGATGTCTGTGAGAAGACATTACCATTACAGTACTTAAAGGATGTGATTGTTTCAACGATCAAGCTTCCTGTGAATCATGCCACTTCTCTTTCAGATGGACTGAAACTGAACTAATTCCAGGTTCATCTTAGATCACTCATGGGGTCAATGTGTATTATGTTCTGTCCAAAATTCAGGATGACCACCATGTCTGTATCAGGTGGTATCAAGCCAGTCATGGCTCATTTTCCTGGACCCATGGGATGCCTACTGGCATGTTACTCACCCATCCTCGGTCCAGGGATTGGTTGGAATTTTACATGGGGCATTCCAATTACCATTTTCAAGATCTTTTCTTTGAGCTTAACCCATGAAATTTACCAAGATGACCCTCTCAGACTCCACACTGCTTCAGCTCCGCTTACATCCCCATCTGAGGCTTGTAAGTACTGTAAGTACAGTACTGTACCTGCCAGTACTGTAACTGCCAGTACAGTACTGTACCTACAAGTACTGTACCTGTCAGGTACACTACTGATTTTATCATTAGGGAGTTCAAGCACTTCTTGAGCTGCCTAACTTTACCTACATTTGCATATTACTGGAGCTGGGAGTGGCTGAAAGCAGTTTGTAATTATCTGTAGTGTTCTCTGCTTTGCCTGCTCAAGAACCATTAGGACTGAGGTTCTATAACATCGTAATCCCCAGTCAAAATGCGGAAATTGGCAAAGGTCAAGATGGCCCTTTGGTGTATCTCTGTGGGTCTCAGCCATCTGACCTCATTCAAAATGTTTCCCAGCAGTCTACCATCTTAAGAGGAGGGTTCCATGTGCCCCCCTTCTCAAACATTCTCATATGCGCCCTCTCATGGTTTTGCACGATGTTCAAACAACTACCAATGGCTGAAGGTACTGTACCTCATTACCCCACTGCGGGAATCCATCAACTCACACTGTATTAAGCGCTGTTCTACAGTCAGAAGCCTTTGGTGTTGAACAGTTTTCATCTGGACTGGAACCGGTCGACAACCATTTTCAGCATCTGTTCCTTCTGATTCAGGCGTTTCTCCCAGTTACGTCCATGATGAAGAACTTTCAAGACTGCTTCATTCATTTTACTCCAAAGTGGCCAGTCCACACCTCCCTGCCTACCCTTGACCAGTTCTCTTCATAGATCTCCATCTCTTCAAGACAATCAGTGGCTGGATCTACTATCTTGTGTTGGTTCTGGAAATCAATGCCCCTACAGGCCGTTCATTGACCAAGCCTCCTGGTTGATGGTCAGTTCAACCAAGCTGGTAAACACCACTGCTTGCAGTCTAATGAATCACAGTCCAGTTGATCAGATATTTTATTTAAATATCTGATATTTGAGGTATTTTATCAAGTTCTATTTTAAACACCATGAGAGGTCAGCTAGTTGTGTTCTTTATGTTTAGAAGGAGTGTTGAGAAGTCTTGAGCCCTTGATGTTGATATAGTTTTCTCTCAGTGTATCTATTGCACCTCTGCTTTTCAATGGGGCTATTTTGCAATTCCTGCCGTGCCCCCTTGTCTAATGTGGTGTTATTTCCATGTGCAGATTTCAAACTTGACCCCTATTAAAATTTTCAACGATTAGATTATTGTGTGTGTGTCACCTATTCTAAGAGAATACAGATTTAGAAATCTTAACCAATCCCATGGACCTACACAGATGGTCAAACTGTACGTTGTCAAAAATACTCCAATCAGTATCAACATTTTTAATCATGCAACATTAATTTCCCCATGCAACATTTTAATAACATAAATATACCTTACCATCTTTTACTTCAATCAAGTCATTGTCTATGCAGATCTCAGAGTCTTCACTAACATCAGCTCCCTGTAAGTGGATAAATTTAAGGAAATTAATAATAATTGATTAGTAAATTAATAAAGAACGGAGATGAATCTATGATGGCTTAAAACACATGATTCCCTCAATAAATTCTTAAAAGCAGGCTGCGAGTCTAGGAAATTTAAATTTATTTAAAGTGTGTCAATACAACCAATAACGAGAGCATTTACCACAAGGTGGTAATCACGAGAGCATTTACCACAAGGTGGTAATCACGAGAGCATTTACCACAAGGTGGTAATCACGAGAGCATTTACTACAAGGTGGTAATCATGAGAGCATTTACCACAAGGTGGTAATCACGAGAGCATTTACTACAAGGTGGTAATCATGAGAGCATTTACTACAAGGTGGTAATCATGAGAGCATTTACCACAAGGTGGTAATCATGAGAGCATTTACTACAAGGTGGTAATCATGAGACCATTTACTACAAGGTGGTAATCACGAGAGCATTTACCACAAGGTGGTAATCATGAGAGCATTTACTACAAGTTGGTAATCATGAGAGCATTTACCACAAGGTGGTAATCATGAGAGCATTTACTACAAGGTGGTAATCATGAGAGCATTTACCACAAGGTGGTAATCACGAGAGCATTTACCACAAGGTGGTAATCACGAGAGCATTTACCACAAGGTGGTAATCACGAGAGCATTTACCACAAGGTGGTAATCATGAGAGCATTTACTACAAGGTGGTAATCATGAGACCATTTACTACAAGGTGGTAATCACGAGAGCATTTACCACAAGGTGGTAATCATGAGAGCATTTACTACAAGTTGGTAATCATGAGAGCATTTACCACAAGGTGGTAATCATGAGAGCATTTACTACAAGGTGGTAATCATGAGAGCATTTACCACAAGGTGGTAATAATGAGAGCATTTACTACAAGGCGGTAATCACGAGAGCATTTACTACAAGGCGGTAATCACGAGAGCATTTACTACAAGGTGGTAATCACGAGAGCATTTACCACAAGGCGGTAATCACGAGAGCATTTACCACAAGGCGGTAATCACGAGAGCATTTACTACAAGGCGGTAATCACGAGAGCATTTACTACAAGGTGGTAATCACGAGAGCATTTACCACAAGGTGGTAATCATGAGAGCATTTACCACAAGGTGGTAATCATGAGACCATTTACAACAAGGTGGTAATCATGAGACCATTTACTACAAGGTGGTAATCATGAGACCATTTACTACAAGGTGGTAATCATGAGAGCATTTACTACAAGGTGGTAATCATGAGAGCATTTACTACAAGGTGGTAATCATGAGAGCATTTACTACAAGGTGGTAATCATGAGAGCATTTACTACAAGGTGGTAATCACGAGACCATTTACTACAAGGTGGTAATCATGAGACCATTTACTACAAGGTGGTAATCATGAGAACATTTACCACAAGGTGGTAATCATGAGACCATTTACTACAAGGTGGTAATCATGAGACCATTTACTACAAGGTGGAAATCACGAGACCATTTACTACAAGGTGGAAATCATGAGACCATTTACTACAAGGTGGTAATCATGAGACCATTTACTACAAGGTGGTAATCACGAGAACATTTACTACAAGGTGGAAATCATGAAACGCTCTCATCCTGTGACTACACTTAAAAAATCAAACATTTGATAACCTTACACCCACCAACCTGCATATCACTCGCCAACAAGCTGATATGCTATTTCAACAACCTGTATGAATAAGTTAAGTGAGAAGTTGGTGGAGGCCAAAACCTGTCAGTAGTTTCAAAGCGCTATTTGACAAAGTGGACTGGGAACACGGGACACCACGAGCGTAGCTCTCGCCTGGTAACTACACTACTACATTCAGCTAATTACAGCTAGTATAAAAAACCTTCATCAAATGTATATCTGCAGTGCACCTCCACTTGAACAGAAGATTTGATTTTAGACCCATATTGCTCCAAAGAAACTTCCATTGTATTTGAAGTGACCTATTTTTCTGTAACAATTACATACCCTGTATACTAATTTTGATTTAATTATGAATAACTAATTATAATTATGATTTATAATATTTTAAATCATAATATTAATGAAAATATTCATAATTTTCAATTATAAATATTGTGCTTATATATAGTTATGAATATAAGAATTTCTTACTAGTCAATATAATTCTGTCTAAAAACTAAGTACAGTACTGTACGTATGAATTCGTGACTATTGACAACTGTCACAATAGTTACTATCTAAACAGGACGATGGGTTGCAAGATCAACCATCTTAACTGGCAAAACGAGTCAAGTTAATAACATGCAAAGAAACCGGCATAAACTCAACGAAACGAACATACTGAACAGGCACCGATAACATCACTAAAGTGAGCAAGGTACTGTATGTATGTAAAGTCTCTCCGATGTACACGAGTGGGGAGGGGGGGGGGTTGCTCAAGACAGGCAGGACAGACCAAGGGATGTGGTGTAGAACAAGAGGTACTCTTGTTGAAAATTTGAAGATGCATAATGCCGAAGCCAAGTCTGTCCATGAAACACACAGACAAGGTTTAGAAAAACCCACGGGTTGTGCAGCAAGTGTGTTTAGGAAGAGGTAAATACAAGTTCTGGAAAATGTTGGGATTTTGTTCTAAACAAATCTTTGCTATTATCTAACTATTCAGAAAAAAAGATTTCCAGTTGATGTTAAGTACAGGGCCTCTTCTAGAGCTTAGGATAAGGTATCTCATGAAAGATTAGCCCACAACTACAGGCACATGGATTCAATGGTAAATTATTGGATTAGATAAACAATAATTAGAGCACAGAAAGGAAATGGAAATAACACATACTGGAAAGATATTGCTAGTGGAGCACTGCAAGGTTCTATTTTTTCACCACCTGTTGAAGTAATATATAGTGCATCAATTACTTGGATGATAACATCGTGACACTTATACAGTATATTACAACGAGTTACACAAGTAGAAAGAACGATATAGATGTTGGACACAGACAAATCACATTAACGTGATGTATCAAAGAACAAATCTACAGGAGCCTTGACTAGAGCGCGTCTGGGAACACTCAGCGCATAGGTTCGAACCCTCATTAAGTTTCCTGTGGATTTGTTCATAGATATTATTGTAATGATTTGTATAAGTTGTTACGAATAAAGTTTCTGATTCTAACTCTAATACAGTATTGAAGCTTTGGAAAAACATAATCTCCTCTATGACGAAGCTAAGGAGCAGATATGACAGAAGAAGAAGCAAAACGATGGCATTACTCAAATGAGAGCTGACCCAAGACAACTAACCTGTGGTGGGGACATGGCCAGACCAGAGGAGAACAGGAGACTCAAGACAACTCACCTGTCGTGGGGACATGGCCAGACCAGAGGAGAACAGGAGACTCAAGACAACTCACCTGTGGTGGGGACATGGCCAGACCAGAGGAGAACAGGAGACAAATGCTCAGGTTGACTTCCCTGAAGCCCTGGACCCAAACACCAAAACAAGACGTTGTCAAGAAATGGCCACAAAGTTCGCACTTGCCAAGAGTACTGCATGGAGATAAACATGAGGCCAATGCAACAACAACCCAGTACTAACAGGGCCAAACAGCTGAGTGGACAGCACTTCAGATTCGTAATCCTGAGGTTCGGGGTTCGATCCCCATTGGAGGCGGAAACAGACAGCAGTTTCTTTCACCCTAATGCGCCTGTTACCTAGGAGTAAACAGGGACCTGGAAATTAGACAGGTGCTTTCTGTAGATGTGTATCAAAAAGGAGGCCTGGTCAAGGACTGAGCTGAGGGGGGAAGGCTAAGCCCCGAAATCATCTCAAGATAACCTTAAGATAAGAGCAGCAGACAAGCCTGGAAATGATAATCAGAGTCCAAGGAATAACATACCTGAATAGGACAAATGTATGAGGCACAAAATTTTAGAAGAAAGGTGTGCAAAGCACCAATCGGAAACAAGAGACAGATGAAGAACCAAACCAGAACAAGAGGGCCACTACTAAAGGTACATCAGGTCCACAAATACTGTATACATACCATGTTCCTACCCTCGGCTTCGGATACATTAGGCTTACTAACACGGTCACCACACGTTACTCCCGACTTCACTGCCTTCTGACATTCTGTGATTGGTTGTGTAGTTTCCAGAGAGGTTTTCAATCCATCTGAGGAAGTGGGCAAATTTACATTAAAAATTACAGATCTTCTTAATACTACAACTAATATTTGACATTTTCATTTTCATTACTGTACAGTGGCACCTCGACTTACGATTGCCCCGACTTATGATAATTTTGAGTTACGATGTAAATTTTATAAAAAATGCGCCTTGACTTATGATAGTGTCGTCAACCAACGATAACTGTTGGTACACGTTTGGGTCGACCGAGCGCGTGGTTCCTGGTCACGCAGGCCGACCTGCCACAGTTTACTACAGCTGCCTGCTTAGTGGTGATCACGCCTATAAGAAATTCAATTTTTGTGGTGATTTTTTGCTTTTTGAACATAAAACTGATTAATATATATCACCCCATGGGTCCCAAGAAAGTCAGTGGTAAGGTTCAACATATGAAAAGACATGTAAGAATGACCATAGAGGAAAAACAAGAGATCATACATAAACATGAAAATGGTACTAGTGTTGTTGAACTAACTAGGCAGTACAATAAATCTTCAGAGGAGGAGGCGGTGGCATTAGAAGATGTCCCTTCCTCAATAATTAAGAAAATGTGTGCAGTATGGGAAGGACTGCAAAGTTTTGCTAAAAAGAATCACCCAGATAAAGCTGTAACAGCCCATTGCATTGATCTTTATAATGACAATGTGATGCCTCACTACAGACAAGTGTTGGAAAGAAGGGAAAAACAATCTTTAATGGAACGATTTCTAGTGAGAAAATCAAGCAGTGAGCCACAAGCAGGTCCTAGTGGTATACAGGCAAAACGTGCCAGTGTGTACCTCAGAGAAGTCCTCACTGCCTGATGTTATAATGGAAGGTGACTCCCTTTCCAAACAGTAACACCTCTCCTCCTCCCCCCTCCTCACCATCTTCCATATGCCATCAAGAGTCCCCCATAAAGGTAAGATAAACATATGTACTGTATTGTAGAGAAAAAAATTGTATTCAGTATAAAATGTATTTGTAAGTTAATATTTTTGAGGGTGTGGAACGGATTACTGTAATTCAATTTCCTTTATTTCTTATGAGAAAAATCATTTCGACTTACGATATTTCGACTTATGATTCGTCTCTGGGAACGGATTACCATCGTAAATCGAGGCCCCACTGTATAATTAATTTAGCTTACACAAAATTACAGTACTGTATATGACATGCAAATACAGTACTGTATATGACATGCAGTACAGTCATGTATTGTCTCACAATGTTTCAGACAGTGATTCATATTGAACAATATGTGCAGAACTGTATTGCTCTCTGAAGTGTAGCTAGTGATTGTTAAGGTATACACAGGTACACTGTGTTGCTCTCTGAGGTGTAGCTAGTGATTGTTAAGGTGTACACAGGTACACTGTGTTGCTCTCTCAGGTGTAGCTAGTGATTGTTAAGGTATACACAGGTACACTGTGTTGCTCTCTGAGGTGTAGCTAGTGATTGTTAAGGTGTACACAGGCACACTGTGTTGCTCTCTCAGGTGTACCTAGTGATTGTTAAGGTGTACACAGGCACACTGTGTTGCTCTCTCAGGTGTAGCTAGTGATTGTTAAGGTGTACACAGGCACACTGTGTTGCTCTCTCAGGTATAGCTAGTGAATGTTAAGGTGTACACAGGCACACTGTGTTGCTCTCTCAGGTGTAGCTAGTGAATGTTAAGGTGTACACAGGCACACTGTGTTGCTCTCTCAGGTGTAGCTAGTGAATGTTAAGGTGTACACAGGCACACTGTGTTGCTCTCTCAGGTGTAGCTAGTGAATGTTAAGGTGCACACAGGCACACTGTGTTGCTCTCTCAGGTGTAGCTAGTGATTGTTAAGGTATACACAGGCACACTGTGTTGCTCTCTCAGGTGTACCTAGTGATTGTTAAGGTGTACACAGGCACACTGTGTTGCTCTCTCAGGTGTAGCTAGTGATTGTTAAGGTGTACACAGGCACACTGTGTTGCTCTCTCAGGTGTACCTAGTGATTGTTAAGGTGTACACAGGCACACTGTGTTGCTCTCTCAGGTGTAGCTAGTGATTGTTAAGGTGTACACAGGCACACTGTGTTGCTCTCTCAGGTGTAGCTAGTGATTGTTAAGGTGTACATAAGCACATTGTGGTGCTGCATTACTTACAAACTCTCCTACACAGTGCTCTCCAAAGGCTTGTATCCAGTATATTCACAATCCCCCGGTAAATTTAAGTTACATAATGGTTCATAATTGAGTGAATTCTCAATTTTCTCTTTAACCCTTATGCAGTTCAGCTAATTAAATGTCCTACTTTGAGGTAATGAAAAAAAGTAAGTACTGTATTCAAAATCTGAAAAGATCAATCACATTTTTTAATGTGATCAGATCAGATCAATTTACTACAAATTACCTACTTAAATTAATTTGTTAGATTAAGGACCTGCCCGAAACGCTATGCGCGTTAGTGGCTTTACAAGAATGTAGAAACATCAATGCTATGTACTCTCATAAACCCAATGTATCTTTTTGTATATAAATAAATAAATAAATAAAAATAAATTTGGCAATTTTAACACATGTAAATGTAGATAGTGATTGGAACTGCTTAATGGTTAAAATGCAATGTTTTTGTTACAGTGCAAACTGAGTTTGCTTATCAGAAATAATTTGTGCTAGTGTACTCACCTAGTCGTGCTTGTGGGGTTTGAGCTTTGGCTCTTTGGTCTAATAAAGTGTATGTCCATTCAGAGTGAGAATGTCACATTTTCTACACGTTTTTGGAACAACTGCGTTTATTGAAATATGAAACTGTTTTTAGCTTATTTATATATCTACACATGTAATAAAAATGCTTGCAATGTATCTAAATTGAAATAAACAAATATTATATGTAGGAAATAGTTTTACGTACCTTTGCCAACTGTGCATTTTTTCAACACTTCCGGCTCCATAATATTATCTAGTTTTCTCTTACATGGTTGTACAGGTATGCTCTCTGTATTACAACAATAACCTGTTTGACCGGGGACCCTTCTAAAATATATACAATGCCGATCCTTAAATCTTTGGAGCCAGCCCGCGCTACATTTAAATTCAGAAACGCCCAAGGAATCTGCAAGCTTTTCTGCAGCGACAATAATCTGATCTCCGCTGACCATGAGACCTTGTGCACGCCGCTCAGAAAACCACTTGAAAACTGCCTCATCCACATTCTTATATTTAGCAGGCTTAAGAGTTTTTCTGTTTGAAGCTTTAGCACCATTAATGTCCCTCTCAGCAGCAAATTTAAACAAGGCTTCCTTTTGTTTATTGATGCCAAAAACAGTGCTTATGCCTATGCCAAATTCCCGCGCCACGGTGCGAAAGGTGGCACCGGGCTCCTTGGTTTTCTCAATAACATTTAACTTTTCATCAATAGTCAGCACCTTCCTTTTTTTGATACCTTGAGCTATAGCAATGGTCAGAGTGCTCAACATTTTGATAACTCAATTAATGCTAAAATAACATGAATATGAGGTTATGAAAGTTCTCCTTGTGGTGTAATCATTGATGAAAGTGTTGCTTTATTAGTGTTATGTAATGCATAACAAATGTAACTGTCAAGCCATTATCAGGCAAACTGTTGACTTGTGAGAGCAGTGGCAGCCACACCGACCTCCTGTTGTTGAGTGTGTGGTGACGACGACCTGCTCTTCTTCCTTCATAACAGGACTGTTAGGGCAAATCAACAGAACATTCTGGCAGGGAATGCCTTGCTCAACTGCTCAACTGTTGTTATTGACTGAGAGGGCAACGACAATTGAGAGATTGGACGTGCCCTGGCAGCCTGACACCAGGAAATGATGAAAAGGAATGGGATCCCTACAGCCTCTTCAGGCCATGTACATAGCCAATGAACTGGCAGGTATGTCGAAAAATGTCTTGACAGACGCCTTCATCTCTTCCTCCTGCCCCGTCGAGGATAATGGGAACCGTGAGGCGGGCAATTTGCAGCCTGAGGTGGAGTACTGGTGTAGTTCTGCCACTATTGGCACAAGAGGGAATCCACTGGAAGCAATGGAGATGTGCAGCCAGGCATGAGTGGCCCATCCAGAGGTGAGTGAGGGCCGCGTCCAGGAGTTTGGCCCATGGACGCCGGGAGGTGTCCTCCAGGAGAATCGTCAGAGATGATGACCGAAGAGCTGGTGCCAACTCCACCTCCCAGCCGGCCTGACAGGTTCCCCTGAAGCTGCTGCAGGAGTTCCCGTGAGCTCCAGAGACACCTGCGTAATGCCCTAGACCGGCGCTATCCCTGTTGCCTCATTAGCCACCACACTACCATTAATCTCGCCATAAGACGGAACCCATTGACGAGAGCCCGACCGACCCGAGGAACCTGAGTACCACAGCGGACCCGCACCAGTGGACCCGCAGAGATGATACCCGATGACGACCCGTATGGGAATCCACGCCGAAGACCACCGCCGGGAGTCCGGACACCTGACGGAGGTCAGCAAAATCTCATACAGTTGCCCAGGGAGGCAAGACCCAGCTGGGGAAGACCTCCGGCAGCGTCTGGCAGGAGGGGACAAGGGAGGAAAGAAAGCAGCAGCGGCTCTTGATCAGCTGATGTTGTTGTTGTTGTGGGCGGGGAGGAGGGCGCGTTCACGCCGGCACCACCGCCGCGTTCACTACCACCCGGGATATTAGAGTTTCCAGCCGAGGGGATATTAGAGTTTCCAGCCGAGGGGATATTAGTTTCCAGCCGAGGGGATATTAGAGTTTCCAGCCGAGGGGATATTAGAGTTTTCAGCCGAGGGGAAATTATAGTTTTCACTCGGGGGGGGGGGGTGAAAGACTTTTCAGTCGGGAAGTTTTAGAGTTTTAAGCCGGGGGGAAATTAGTTTTCAGATTGGGGAAAGTAGAGTTTTCATGGGAGCCGGACCAGTCTGGAGTGTATTAACAATAATACATCACCTGCTGCAGCTTGTATGGTTGATATATAAAATTAAATACAAAAAAATAAAGATAAAAATTGCTTATCTGCCAAAGTCATCAAACAATTTACCTGACACGGGTTCGAATCCCTGGACAGGACTCGACGCCTCTGTTCACCTAACATTCAATAGGTGGCAGTAGTTCAAGGCGACTATTATGGGCGGCATCTTGGGGGAAAGTCACGCCTTATTTATAATTTGAAACAGCGAGTGAGGTGCGACCGTCTTCTCTTATGGTCAAATTTCCTCCTAAAAACACCTCGCTTCCATGACCAAGGGCGGGGAGGATGGTGGGGAGGATGGCGGGGAGGATGGTGGGGAGCATGGTGGGGAGGATGGTGGGGAGGATGGTGGGGAGGATGGCGGGGAGGATGGTGGGGAGGATGGCGGGGAGGATGGTGGGGAGCATGGTGGGGAGGATGGTGGGGAGGATGGTGGGGGAGGATGGCGGGGAGGATGGTGGGGGAGGATGAAGGGTGGGGAGGATGAAGGGTGGGGAGGATGAAGGGTGGGGAAGAAGAAGGATGGGGAGGATGAAGGGTGGGGAAGAAGAAGGATGGGGAGGTAGAAGGATTGGAAGAAGGGTGGGGAGTTGAAATTCAGGGAAAAGGTTATGGGGATGGGTAAGACGGACTCAATGTTGGGTGGCCTGTCCACCATGGGGCGGCATTGTTGGTCTTGAAGTTAAGGCAGAGTGGTTTTCTTGCGTGTCTTGGAGGAACTGTTGAACGACAAGCGCTAGAGGGAAATAGTGATGGATGTAGATGAAGAAGGTGCTTCACCACCCTACCTATCCTACCCTTTACAACCTTCCCTACCCATCACCACCTTCCCTACCCTCCACCACCTTCCCTACCCTCCACCACCTTCCCTACCCTTTACAACCTTCCCTACCCTCCACCACCTTCCCTACCCTTCACCACCTTTCCTACCCTTCACCAACTTCCCTACCCTTCACCACCTACCCTACCCTTCACCACCTTTCCTACCCTTCACCAACTTCCCTACCCTTCACCACCTTCCCTACCCTTCACCACCTTCACTACCCTTCACTACCTTCACTACCATTCACCACCTTCCCTACCCTTCACCACCTTCCCTGCCCTTCACCACCTTCCCTACCCTTCACCACCTTCCCTACCCTCCACCACCTTCCCTGCCCTTCACCACCTTCCCTACCCTTCACCACCTTCCCTACCCTCCACCACCTTCCCTGCCCTTCACCACCTTCCCTACCCTCCACCACCTTCCCTGCCCTTCACCACCTTCCCTACCCTCCACCACCTTCACTACCCTCCACCACCTTCCCTGCCCTTCACCACCTTCCCTACCCTTCACCACCTTCCCTACCCTCCACCACCTTCCCTACCCTCCACCACCTTCCCTGCCCTTCACCACCTTCCCTACCCTTCACCACCTTCCCTACCCTCCACCACCTTCCCTGCCCTTCACCTTCCCTACCCTCCACCACCTTCCCTACCCTTCACCACCTTCCCTACCCTCCACCACCTTCCCTACCCTTCACCACCTTCCCTACCCTTCACCACCTTCCCTACCCTCCACCACCTTCCCTACCCTCCACCACCTTCCCTACCCTTCACCACCTTCCCTACCCTTCACCACCTTCCCTACCCCTCACCACCTTCCTTACCCTTCACCACCTTCCCTACCCTCCACCACCTTCCCTACCCTTCACCACCTTCCCTACCCTTCACCACCTTCCCTACCCTCCACCACCTTCCCTACACTTCACCACCTTCCCTACCCTCCACCACCTTCCCTACCCTTCACCAACTTCCCTGCCCTTCACCAACTTCCCTGACCCCTTCATCACCTTACCTACCCTCCACCACCTTCCCTGCCCTTCACCAACTTCCCTGCCCTTCACCAACTTCCCTGCCCTCCACCACCTTTCCTACCCTTTACAACCTTCCCTACCCTTCACCACCTACCCTACCCTTCACCACCTTCCCTACCCTTCACCAACTTCCCTGCCCTTCACCAACTTCCCTGCCCTTCACCAACTTCCCTGACCCCTTCATCACCTTACCTACCCTCCACCACCTTCCCTACCCTTCACCACCTTCCCTACCCTTCACCACCTTACCTACCCTCCACCACCTTCCCTACCCTTCAAAACCTTCCCTGCCCTTCACCAACTTCCCTACCCTTCACCACCTTACCTACCCTCCACCACCTTCCCTACCCTTCACCACCTTCCCTGCCCTTCACCAACTTCCCTACCCTTCACCACCTTACCTACCCTCCACCACCTTCCCTGCCCTTCAAAACCTTCCTATCCCTTCACCACCTTCCCTACCCTTCACAACCTTCCCTATCATTGATCACCTTCCCTACCCTTCACCTCCTACCCTACCCTTCACCACCTTCCCTACCCTTCACCACCTTCCCTACCCTTCACCACCTTCCCTACCCTTCACCACCTTCACTACCATTCACCACCTTCCCTACCCTTCACCACCTACCCTACCCTTCACCACCTTCCCTGCCCTTCACCACCTTCACTACCCTTCACCACCTTCCCTGCCCTTCACCACCTTCCCTACCCTTCACCACCTTCACTACCCTTCACCACCTACCCTACCCTTCACCACCTACCCTACCCTTCACCACCTTCCTTACCCTTCACCACCTTCCTTACCCTTCACCACCTACCCTACCCTTCACCAGCTTCCCTACCCTTCACCACCTACCCTACCCTTCACCACCTTCCTTACCCTTCACCACCTTCCCTACCCTTCACCAACTTCCCTACCCTTCACCACCTACCCTACCCTTCACCACCTTCCCTACCCTTCACCAGCTTCCCTACCCTTCACCACCTTCCTTACCCTTCACCACCTTCACTACCCTTCACCACCTACCCTACCCTTCACCACCTTCCTTACCCTTCACCACCTTCCCTACCCTTCACCACCTTCACTACCCTTCACCACCTTCCCTACCCTTCACCACCTTCACCACCTACCCTACCCTTCACCACCTTCACTACCCTTCACCACCTTCCCTACCCTTCACCACCTTCACTACCCTTCACCACCTACCCTACCCTTCACCACCTTCACTACCCTTCACTACCTTCCTTACCCTTCACCACCTTCCTTACCCTTCACCAGTTTCCCTACCCTTCACCAGCTTCCCTACCCTTCACCACCTTCACTACCCTTCACCACCTTCACTACCCTTCACCACCTACCCTACCCTTCACCACCTTCCCTATCCTTCACCACCTACCCTACCCTTCACCACCTACCCTACCCTTCACCACCTTCACTACCCTTCACCACCTTCACTACCCTTCACCACCTTCACTACCCTTCACCACCTTCACTACCCTTCACCACCTTCACTACCCTTCACCACCTTCACTACTCTTCACCACCTTCCCTACCCTTCACCAGCTTCCCTACCCTTCACCACCTACCCTACCCTTCACCACCTTCCTTACCCTTCACTAGCTTCCCTACCCTTCACCACCTACCCTACCCTTCACCACCTTCCCTACCCTTCACCACCTGCTCTACCCTTCACCACCTTCCTTACCCTTCAATAGCTTCCCTACCCTTCACCACCTTCCCTACCCTTCACCACCTTCCCTACCCTTCACCACCTACCCTACCCTTCACCACCTTCCTTACCCTTCACTAGCTTCCCTACCCTTCACCACCTTCACTACTCTTCACCACCTTCCCTACCCTTCACCAGCTTCCCTACCCTTCACCACCTACCCTACCCTTCACCACCTTCCTTACCCTTCACTAGCTTCCCTACCCTTCACCACCTACCCTACCCTTCACCACCTTCCCTACCCTTCACCACCTGCCCTACCCTTCACCACCTTCCTTACCCTTCAATAGCTTCCCTACCCTTCACCACCTTCCCTACCCTTCACCACCTTCCCTGCCCTTCACCACCTTCCCTACCCTTCACCACCTTCCCTACCCTCCACCACCTTCCCTACCCTCCACCACCTTCCCTGCCCTTCACCACCTTCCCTACCCTTCACCACCTTCCCTACCCTCCACCACCTTCCCTGCCCTTCACCTTCCCTACCCTCCACCACCTTCCCTACCCTTCACCACCTTCCCTACCCTCCACCACCTTCCCTACCCTTCACCACCTTCCCTACCCTTCACCACCTTCCCTACCCTCCACCACCTTCCCTACCCTCCACCACCTTCCCTACCCTTCACCACCTTCCCTACCCTTCACCACCTTCCCTACCCCTCACCACCTTCCTTACCCTTCACCACCTTCCCTACCCTCCACCACCTTCCCTACCCTCCACCACCTTCCCTACCCTTCACCACCTTCCCTACCCTTCACCACCTTCCCTACCCTCCACCACCTTCCCTACACTTCACCACCTTCCCTACCCTCCACCACCTTCCCTACCCTTCACCAACTTCCCTGCCCTTCACCAACTTCCCTGACCCCTTCATCACCTTACCTACCCTCCACCACCTTCCCTGCCCTTCACCAACTTCCCTGCCCTTCACCAACTTCCCTGCCCTCCACCACCTTTCCTACCCTTTACAACCTTCCCTACCCTTCACCACCTACCCTACCCTTCACCACCTTCCCTACCCTTCACCAACTTCCCTGCCCTTCACCAACTTCCCTGCCCTTCACCAACTTCCCTGACCCCTTCATCACCTTACCTACCCTCCACCACCTTCCCTACCCTTCACCACCTTCCCTACCCTTCACCACCTTACCTACCCTCCACCACCTTCCCTACCCTTCAAAACCTTCCCTGCCCTTCACCAACTTCCCTACCCTTCACCACCTTACCTACCCTCCACCACCTTCCCTACCCTTCACCACCTTCCCTGCCCTTCACCAACTTCCCTACCCTTCACCACCTTACCTACCCTCCACCACCATCCCTGCCCTTCAACACCTTCCTATCCCTTCACCACCTTCCCTACCCTTCACAACCTTCCCTATCATTGATCACCTTCCCTACCCTTCACCTCCTACCCTACCCTTCACCACCTTCCCTACCCTTCACCAGCTTCCCTACCCTTCACCACCTTCCCTACCCTTCACCACCTTCACTACCATTCACCACCTTCCCTACCCTTCACCACCTACCCTACCCTTCACCACCTTCCCTGCCCTTCACCACCTTCACTACCCTTCACCACCTTCCCTGCCCTTCACCACCTTCCCTACCCTTCACCACCTTCACTACCCTTCACCACCTACCCTACCCTTCACCACCTTCCTTACCCTTCACCACCTTCCTTACCCTTCACCACCTACCCTACCCTTCACCAGCTTCCCTACCCTTCACCACCTACCCTACCCTTCACCACCTTCCTTACCCTTCACCACCTTCCCTACCCTTCACCAACTTCCCTACCCTTCACCACCTACCCTACCCTTCACCACCTTCCCTACCCTTCACCAGCTTCCCTACCCTTCACCACCTTCCTTACCCTTCACCACCTTCACTACCCTTCACCACCTACCCTACCCTTCACCACCTTCCTTACCCTTCACCACCTTCCCTACCCTTCACCACCTTCACTACCCTTCACCACCTTCCCTACCCTTCACCACCTTCACCACCTACCCTACCCTTCACCACCTTCACTACCCTTCACCACCTTCCCTACCCTTCACCACCTTCCCTACCCTTCACCACCTTCACTACCCTTCACCACCTACCCTACCCTTCACCACCTTCACTACCCTTCACTACCTTCCTTACCCTTCACCACCTTCCTTACCCTTCACCAGTTTCCCTACCCTTCACCAGCTTCCCTACCCTTCACCACCTTCACTACCCTTCACCACCTTCACTACCCTTCACCACCTACCCTACCCTTCACCACCTTCCCTATCCTTCACCACCTACCCTACCCTTCACCACCTACCCTACCCTTCACCACCTTCACTACCCTTCACCACCTTCACTACCCTTCACCACCTTCACTACTCTTCACCACCTTCCCTACCCTTCACCAGCTTCCCTACCCTTCACCACCTACCCTACCCTTCACCACCTTCCCTACCCTTCACCTCTATAACCATGTTAAAGGGATAAAGGGAACATGTGTACATATTCCTTTAGGGGGGCAGGGAGCTCAAAAATATTTGTCCAAATATATAATACAGTATAGTGAAAACTGTTAAAAAAAATCTCACGTTATTTGGCATCAGCATCGTGAAAATTTCATCCCAATTTGTTAAGAAATGAATTTTATACGAATTAAACAAAAAAATGTACTCTGGCAGTACTGATGATAAGAATAACACCTCCCAGTTAGTGGAACTCATGGATGATGCAGTGATTAGGATGCAAGCACCAGTCCGACGCACTAAGAAGAATAGTAGTAAGGAGGGTCCACAAAGAGTTGATATGCAGCTGGTGCCTTCTAGGATTGCTGATTTTTCACACAAATAATAATGAGTAGCTATGTTATATTGCTGTATTATATTATATATCATATAAATACATTGCACAATGACAATGGATTTTTGTTTTGCTTTTTTTTTCTCCTTTGTTTCTTATCTGATTTTGTTGTGGCTTCTACATCTTGGAGAATGCACGCCCATCATGCACGCCCATCATGCACGTCCATCATGCACATCCATCATGCACGCCCATCATGCACATCCATCATGCACATCCATCATGCACGCCCATCATGCACATCCATCATGCACGCCCATCATGCACATCCATCATGCACATCCATCATGCACGCCCATCATGCACATCCATCATGCACATCCATCATGCACGCCCATCATGCACATCCATCATGCACGCCCATCATGCACATCCATCATGCACGCCCATCATGCACATCCATCATGCACGCCCATCATGCACATCCATCATGCACATCATGCATCATGCACGCACCATCATGCACATCCATCATGCACGCCCATCATGCACATCCATCATGCACATCCATCATGCACATCCATCATGCACGCCCATCATGCACATCCATCATGCACATCCATCATGCACATCATGCATCATCCATCATGCACGCCCATCATGCACATCCATCATGCACATCATGCACATCATCATGCACGCCCATCATGCACATCCATCATGCACGCACCATCATGCACATCCATCATGCACATCCATCATGCACGCCCATCATGCACATCCATCATGCACATCCATCATGCACGCCCATCATGCACATCCATCATGCACGCCCATCATGCACATCCATCATGCACGCCCATCATGCACATCCACATCATGCACATCCATCATGCACATCCATCATGCACATCCATCATGCACATCCACATGCCATCATGCACGCACATCATGCACATCCATCATGCACATGCCATCATGCACGCCCATCATGCACATCCATCATGCACATCCATCATGCACATCATCCATCATGCACGCCCATCATGCACATCCATCATGCACCATCATGCCATCATGCACGCCCATCCATCATGCACGCCCATCATGCACATCCATCATGCACATCCATCATGCACGCCCATCATCATGCACATCCATCATGCACGCCCATCATGCACATCCATCATGCACGCCCATCATGCACATCCATCATGCACATCCATCATGCACGCCCATCATGCACATCCATCATGCCATCATGCACGCCCATCATGCACATCCATCATGCACATCCATCATGCACGCCCATCATGCACATCCATCATGCACGCCCATCATGCCATCCATCATGCATCCATCATGCACGCCCATCATGCACATCCATCATGCACATCCATCATGCACGCCCATCATGCACATCCATCATGCACATCCATCATGCACGCCCATCATGCACATCCATCATGCACATCCATCATGCACGCCCATCATGCACATCCATCATGCACATCCATCATGCACCATCATGCACATCCATCATGCACATCCATCATGCACGCCCATCATGCACATCCATCATGCACATCCATCATGCACATCCATCATGCACGCCCATCATGCACATCCATCATGCACATCCATCATGCACATCCATCATGCACATCCATCATGCACATCCATCATGCACATCCATCATGCACATCCATCATGCACATCCATCATGCACATCATGCACATCATCATGCACATCCATCATGCACATCATGCACATCCATCATGCACATCCATCATGCACATCCATCATGCACATCATGCACATCCATCATGCACATCCATCATGCACATCATCATGCACATCCATCATGCACATCCATCATGCACCCCATCATGCACCCCATCATGCACCCCATCATGCACCCCATCATGCATCCATGCACATCCATCATGCACATCCATCATGCACATCCATCATGCACGCCCATCATGCACATCCATCATGCACATCCATCATGCACGCCCATCATGCACATCCATCATGCACATCCATCATGCACGCCCATCATGCACATCCATCATGCACATCCATCATGCACGCCCATCATGCACATCCATCATGCACATCCATCATGCACGCCCATCATGCACATCCATCATGCACATCCATCATGCACGCCCATCATGCACATCCATCATGCACATCCATCATGCACGCCCATCATGCACATCCATCATGCACATCCATCATGCACGCCCATCATGCACATCCATCATGCACGCCCATCATGCACATCCATCATGCACGCCCATCATGCACATCCCTCATGCACATCCATCATGCACGCCCATCATGCACATCCATCATGCACATCCATCATGCACGCCCATCATGCACGCCCATCATGCACATCCATCATGCACACCCATCATGCACGCCCATCATGCACGCCCATCATGCACATCCCTCATGCACATCCATCATGCACGCCCATCATGCACATCCATCATGCACATCCATCATGCACGCCCATCATGCACGCCCATCATGCACATCCATCATGCACGCCCATCATGCACATCCATCAAGTATGTATAAATGGAACAAAATTGGTCAACATGTAAATCTGCCACAGGTGGCAGAACTTGACTAATTTATTTTGGCAAAGTTATTCACAGATTTCAAACTTCATTTTCTTTGTCTCTTTAGGTTGTTTTTGCTGAATGGGGACCATATGAGGGCTTTATCACTTATATAAAAGAATACATATATTCTCTCACCCATTATCCTTATCCCTACATTATTTTTTTTTTGGGGTGGTTATTTTTCTTGACTTTATTTCAACACATATTACAACTATACCTTGTATAGTTGTAATGGCTTGGCACTTTCTCCTCATGGTTTCCTTCCCCCCCTATCCCAAATCCATAGCCTGAGGGCATTAACAACATCCCATACGTTGTTTACGCTTGATCGCAACTTTCCGAAACAGCCGGTATGTCCTCCCAGCCTTCTCCTCTTACCCAAACATTCCCTTGAATGACACTTCACCTTTGTCTAGTCATCAAGTCTTCTCTTATACACCAATATATTTTTCAACTTGTATACACATTAATCTCTACATACTACAATAACTCCCATCATCTGCATACATCGAATTTGATGTATGGTAATACAGTACTGTACTCATTATTAGGTCTATACAATACATTCACACTCCTTCATAATATTTTGATCTTGACCTCCCTCATGACTATCATGTCATGACATGACAATCCCCGGTGCACACCAATGTTATAATGCCAGTCATTACACCAACTCTTACATATGCATATGTAAGACAAATTTCACAGAATTTGCCAAATTCAATTTCAAGCCTGTCCCTGTCCACTGTCCATGAAGCCATGTACACCTACCTGTCCTTCTTGTATGGCTTCTCTACAAACTGTCTCCGAGTAAATGTCCGACCTATAATTACCTCAGTGTAGTTACAGGATGAGTGCTCCGCTCGTGGTGTCTTCCCAGCACTCTTTGTCAAATAACGCTTTGAAACCCACCATGCTCATTGGTCATTCATTTTAAAGTAATTTATTTAATGTATATATATAGTCATATGTTATTTAAATGATTACCCATAATCCTCAGATAGTAGGCTCATGATGCAATGGGGGGATTTGTTTCTCCTCAACATTAGCAGAAATAAACAACGTAGAATTTTGCAAATTGTTATTAAAATAAAAAAATTCAAAATAATGGATTATGTAAAATACAAAAATAACATTAACAAAAATTATATATATATATACAGTATACAGAATGCTAAAAGACATGAACTAGTCTGACTTAATAGTATTTGTAATTTCTATTTTATGGGAACGAGCACTGGTGGGCCTGACATAAACTTCACAAACTTTTCTTATGAGACGGATAGCTTCTGATGCTCGCTTAAAATTGGGGTCACTGTCAGCAATTTCAATACCAGAAATCATGTGGTTCACAAATTGCCTCATTACTGATAATGGAATCTGAGTAATGGGATTATCTTCAGAATCATCATCCTGTCCCTCGTCGGCTTCTTCAGTGGTCAGCTCAAGGACGTCTTCTGGTGTCATAATGTTGCGATGACTCTCCAGATGCTTCACGATGTCCTCGGCCACCAGGTCACCAAACCCTTGTCCAGGGATGCTGTTGGCAATCTCCATAATGCTGCGGACCTCTACCTGCGTGTCAGGAAAACCAAGAAAGTCAGGCATGATTTCAGGCCAAAGGTTCTCCCATGCATCCTTAAGGCAAGTGGGATCAATGTTCTCCCATATGTCAGTGATGATGGAAACTGCATTTCTCATATTAAACTTTTTCCAAAATTCAACCACTTTTTCTCTACTTTTGCCCTTGCCTTCAGTGTAGAGAAACATCTCCCAGAGAACTTGCTTAGTGTACAGTTTCTTGATCTGCGCTATCACTCCTTGGTCGAGCGGCTGCAGCAGAGAGCTGGTGTTAGGTGGAAAGAACTCGAGGCGGTATCCGTCGCTGTCAGCAGTGCCCCTCAGGGCTTGAGGGTGACTGGGAGCACTGTCAACAAACAAGATGGCTTTGCTTGGTAGATTTTTAGACCTCAGGTACTTGTCCACGGCAGGAATGAAGTTATGCTGGTACCAGTCGGCAAATATTGTTGAGGTCACCCAAGCTTTGTTGTTAGCTCGCCATACCACAGGCAGACGGGTGACATTCTTGAGCGCACGAGGACGGTGGGACCGGTATACGAGGACAGGAGGAAGCTTGAAGTCCCCGGCAGCATTTGAGCAGAATAGCAAAGACAGACGGTCCTTAGAAGCCTTGAAACCCAAAGTTGCTTTTTCCTCCTTCATCAAGAAGGTCTTACTGGGCAGACGCTTCCAGAAGAGGCCAGTTTCACCTGCGTTAAACACCTGTTGAGGATATATTTTGTTATAAAAATTACTAATGCTTCTGCTGGTTGACAAATTTAATAAAAACCTACCCTTAATAAAAGATATCCCCCAATGAGTCTTTGATTGAATATATTACAAAACCCAGTAATAATTAAAGTCAACACACCTGCTCCGGACAATAGTTGCCTTCTCTGATAATCGCTGCAAACTCTGCAGGATACAATAATGCAGCATTATTGTTAATGGCCTTATAAGGGGATGCAGAAGAGTGATGAGTACCAAGGTGAGGCGATGCACTAGTATGGCCCATGGCAAGGTGAAACAATTGATCAGAGTGGTTAGCAGCAGGGGAAGATGATGATCCAGCATGGTTAGTGGCAGGATGAGAAAATGATTCAGCAGAATTAGAGGCAGGGTGAGACGATGAACCAGTAGAATTAGTGGCAGGGTGAGACGATGAACCAGTAGAATTAGTGGCAGGGTGAGACGATGAACCAGTAGAATTAGTGGCAGGGTGAGACGATGAACCAGTAGAATTAGTGGCAGGGTGAGACAATGAACCAGTAGAATTAGAGGCAGGGTGAGACGATGAACCAGTAGAATTAGTGGCAGGGTGAGACGATGAAGCAGTAGAATTAGAGGCAGGGTGAGACGATGAACCAGTAGAATTAGTGGCAGGGTGAGATGATGAACCAGTAGAATTAGTGGCAGGGTGAGACGATGAACCAGTAGAATTAGTGGCAGGGTGAGACGATGAACCAGTAGAGTTAGTGGCAGGGTGAGACGATGAACCAGTAGAATTAGTGGCAGGGTGAGACGATGAACCAGTAGAATTAGTGGCAGGGTGAGACGATGAACCAGTAGAATTAGTGGCAGGGTGAGATGATGCACTAGTATGGTTAGTAGCAGAGTGAGATGTTGTTGAATAGTCAGCATGAGGGTGAGATGATGCACTAGCAGAGTTAGTAGCAGGGCGAGAAGGTTCTCTAGAATAGTCAGTGTGAGGATGAGACGATGCACTAGCAGGGTTACTAGCAGGGTGAGAAGGTTCTCTAGAATAGTCAGCATGAGGGTGAGATGATGCACTAGCATGGGTAGCAGGGTGAAAAGATGCTTTTAAATAGTCTGCATCAGGGTGAGATGATGTGGCAGCAATGTCAGTGCCAGTACTTTTCCCAAGTATTCTGTTATGCAGTCCATGACGTTTCTTAAAGCTGCTCAGCCAACCAGATGAAGCATAGAATGATGTGCCAGAGGCCCCCATCTTCTTGTCTATGCCTGCCTGTATCTTAGTGGCCTTCTTGCAGATAATGGTACCATTGACAGGAATGTTTTTCTCCTGTTGATCCTTTATCCAGAGGTATAGAGCTCTCTCCATCTCCCTGAAGCATTCACCCCCAAGGGACTTCACATCACTGGATGTCTTCTCCACTGCAGCCCTTCTCATCTCTTCCAGTTTTTCGAAGGCACGAATGGTGGACTTGTCAATCTTAAAAAAGGAAAAAAAGAGAGATATATTGTCTATCAAAATTGATATATAAAACTTTAAATCATATTCATCATTATATTGACTATTACTACTTCAACATCAGTAACACCTCGGCTTATGAATGCCTCTCTTTACAAACTTTTCAGGTTACGAGCCCAATTTCTTCGTAAAATCCGAATCGGGTTATAAACTTTGCCTCGGGAAACAAAGTTTGTTGATACATGTATGGCCGACCTAGCATGTGGTGGTACGGCGACTGCACCTCAGTTTACCAGTGCCTCCCGCCTAGTGACAATCGTGCCTGAATTCTTTGTAAAGGATTTCAGTGTTTTTCGGATTTTTAGGTATTTGAACATAAAAGTTATTATTATATATCTCGCCATGGGTCCCAAGAAAGTCAGTGGTAAAGTTCAAGCCAAGAAAACACATGTGAAAATGACCACAAGGAGCAGCAACAAGAGGCAGCTGAGGAAATGTCTTCAGGGGGATGAGAAGGCAGTACAGAATGTCCCTTCCTCAACAATTAGGAAATGGTGTAGACCATGGAAAGAAATGCAAACTTTTGTTGAAACGACTCACCCAGAGCAAGCTGTAGTTGGCCGTTGCATTAACCTTTTTAATGACACCATCATGCCTCACTACAGTCAAGTGCTACAACGAAGGGAAAAACAATTCTCTATGGTTAGATTTTTAGTAAGAAAATCAAGCAATGAGCCACAAGCAGGTCCTAGTGGTATGCAGGCAAAACATACCAGAGAGTGTACCCCAGAGAAGTCATCACTGCCTGATGTTATAATGGAAGGGGACTCTCCTTCCAAACAGTAACAAACACCTCTCCTCCTCCCTCCCCCCCCTCTCCTCACCGTCTTCCATACGCCAACAAGAGTCATCAATAAAGGTAAGCAATAACTTGTACATACTTTAGTACTGAAGATTTGGGTGAATCAGGTATAAAATTTACTTTAAAGTTCATTTTTTGGGGGAGTGTGGAACAGATTAATTCAATTCACATTATTACTTATGGGAAAATTTGCTTCAATTTACGAATTTTTGGCTTATGAACCATCTCTGGGAATGGATTAAATTAGTAAGCTGAGGTACCACTGTATTATTATCCTCCCGAGGTGTCTTAAGTATATTATCTTTTAAAGGCCTCCAATTAGGCATAACTTGAGGAAAGTGTTGGTCTTTACCCCACACTTGACACTGGCCAAAGAACATTACCTCAGAAAGTCTGTGAAGAGTAAAACAAAGATGAAAATAATTTCAATATCAAGCAGCAGACTCGGAGACAGAATCCTCATCTAAGGCAGACTCATCAAGTGCTGGTCCCTCAAACAGTATTCGTGGTATAACCAGACCCTCTCTCTGCTAGTTTCAAATAACATCAAGATATCTTTTCTAAGCTACAATATATTACACAAGTGCTCCCTAAGACAAGATCCTGCTAGCCCACCGAGTAGGAACTGGGACACTCAAGAACCAGTTAACACGCCACACTGGATCACTATGGATCTTTTCAAATGTCTTTGCTGGGATATATTGGTCTTTAACCACTGCACTGCACGGAGCGCCTAAAGGTGCCCAATCGGGGGTGCGCAGAACACCATATGCCGTTTTTAAGTATAGGCAATGATTCAAAACTCCTGGGGGGGTACACAAGAGTTCACATCATGTGCCTCAGGACTCCTGTAACCTGATGCTATCTTGAAAAAAAAAATCGTCAGCATCCGTGCTGGCTTTGAGAGTCTTAGTACTAAAAGAGCGACCAAGGCTGGCACATGCAGCAGCGCACAGCACCACTGTGCAGCTAGGGGCCACAGCACCACTTAGTAATGAATAAAATAGGTAACTTAAATTATTTTGCATTGATAGTGTCATAGATGATCCTGACTGTCTTAAAGACTATGTACAACGATCAGATATCAATGAATACAATGCTAGTTATTATATTCACAGCATGAGGTACATGCACAGCACCCAGCCATTGTTTCCCCCGCATCTACGCATCATGAAACGACCTTATGTTCCTTCACTAATGTTCATTTTCTTACGGAAATGGATTCATATTCAGATTTGGTGACAGGAATGTGATAATAACAGCAGTTTTGTAACTAATCATAGCGACATGTGTGGAATATTAGAGGCATTGTCTTGCATCATGTGATTGCTGGCGTCGTCTGCTTGTGGCTCCATGCTGTGTTTTGATTTCATCACCACATCCACCAAAACTGCTTATTAGTATTTCATGGTGCATATAAATGTTGATCGTGATATATAACATGCGTATATAGCGTAATAACAACAGGAACACAGTTTGGTTGATCTAAGACTATAATGTGCCACCCTTCAGCTCAATATATCAGCTCAATATTTTTTAGAATAGTGATGTTTCACACATTTAACTATATACATTCCATATGTTACACACGAGTGAATAATATTACTGCAAAAAACTAGATATAACACCATTCACAGACACTGAAATAATTATGTAAAAATGTATTTATGGCAGCCTTTGCCACACTCAGCCGCTAGACTGACCTTGGGTTCTTGTTCTGTGTATATGAACTCTCAACACACGATCTTTGTAGATCATTATGGTGCACATAAATGTAGATAGTTATATACATGTGTATATACTGTAATATGAGCAAAAACACTTGTTAGATTGATCGTAGAATATAACATGCATGTCACATATAGTTTTGAACATAGCGATGCTCCACACATTGAACTATATAAATTCCACAAATTACACACTTTCAAATAATATTACAGCAAAAAAAAACAGAGAAGAAACGAATGAGACAGAATTAATTATGAAAAATTAAATTTGCGGCAACTGCCGCCCCACGGGGTGGCGTGGGGTCAAGTGACCCCGAGCGCCTCATCACTCAGCCCCCATAATCTGCTCAACTTCTCAGCTTTATCACGGCTAAAATATGTCGCAAACAATATTTATTTTTAGTTTCCCATGATCAGAGACTGCATTTTAACAATATAAGAGAAAATAATTTTTTGCAAAGAATTTATTCTCGGCATACCACGGATTTGTCATATTTTAAAGCCACACAACACAGTGGTTAAAGAGACACTGGAAAATACTCATCCAACCCAACAAAACCCCTAGAAGGGTCATTTTAACATATGAAATTGCCTTTCCAAATGCTAATTAGCATCACAATAACTGCCAATTAGCACTCTTTGCAACTACCAAATCATCTCGTGACCACTACAAGGTAGCACTTAACCTTACAATATACACAATAGGCTCAAGCGCTGGCTTAAACCTAATCATATTCAACTTGTCTCTACCTCAATTTCTACTACCATTATTATCGAGTATGTTGTAATCAGATCACTACAATTAAACAATTCACTCTAACAGACATAAACAATGGGCCAAAAGTTCAACAATATTTTTGTTTACCAAAACTTGACATCGTCTCATCTGGAAAAAGTTGGATTTTTTGCACGACAAGTCCATAGAGTTATTGTGAATGTGTCCGCTGCTGTCTTTGTGGGCCGGGTCTTGTGTGTTGCTCTCATCACTCTTTCGCACACATTTATCTGGCCAATCGTCCAGTTCTATTGGCTCTGTTGAAAAATAACTGGGCTTAACAATTGGAAATATTAATAACTTTAAAAAATAAATACAGTACACTACTGTACTGGAAACAGTATTCGTAACAAGGTAGTGAAGTAATAATAATAATAATGATATTTTATTTACAAAAAGGTATAATGGGTTGGGGAGATTACATTACAGTGATATTTTTACATTCTTGCAAAGCCACTAACACCCATAGCGTTTCAGGCAGCTCGTGAACAGAGTACCTCAAAACAGAGAAATATTTTGGTGGTATCATTTGGGATGATACCCAAATTGTAACAGGCTGCAGTATTTTAACACTTCCTGGCACAAATTTAGAAAGCCACAAGTCCTGGTTTAACATTACACTACCTGTGAACTTTTCTCTACAAGTTACAAGTCGAATGATCCAGTTAAAGATAATTTATGTTAATAACAAAGTGAAAGGGTCCTGAGAAAAGCTCCTCTCGCCTAGGCTGCCTGTGCATCATACGTATAAGATGACACAACACCTTTTTCTTTTTAGTATGGTTATTCAACATGGTGTTCCTTCACAACCCTGTATTTACTCGGGAAAAAACACAGACTGTCCATACACTATGACAGCTAATAATTGTGCACCACTTTGGACACGAGTATCAAGCAAGAAAATACAGTACCATAATCATGTACCCAAGTCTCAAATCTGTGCCGAGTATAATTTTGGAAAAGAAATCGTCAGGTACACGAGCAACGCTAAATTATGGACATTTTTGGTTACAACCAAAACTGATAATGATATTGCTTGGTATAAAATTATGAGCATGTCTAAACAAAAATTGTTCTTGACCTGGTCTAGGATGGATCAAAATGTTGAGAGGATATCTGTTTAGCACTCATGCTAATGAAGGTCACGACCTTCGACACACTCATGCTAACAAGATTGTAACTTGCTTAGCTAAATGAATTGTGGGGTTTAGTCCCTGAGCCCATTATGTGCCTCTGTAACCCTTTCCACTACCGCCCATAAGATGGGTATGGGGTGCATAATAAATGAACTAAACTCATGCTAACAGAAGATCACGACCTTCCACACACTCATGCTAATGAAGGATGTCATGACCTTCCACACACACACACAAACACACAGGCAGGAGTATGATGACAACAACAAAGCATGTATAGATGAACTGCAGAAGGCAGCAACACTAGCCCACAGAATGAGAGCGAAGCTGCTGATCATTGGGAACCTAAATCATGGAGAGATAAATTGGGAATCAAGGAATCCCCATGGAGGGGACGAAACGTGGGGAGCAATATTAGTAGATGTTATAGACAGGAATTTCCTGACACAACATGCGAAGGAAGACACAAGGGAAAGAGGAGGAGATGCACCGAGCCTATTAGACCTGATTTTCACCCAGAACGTAGAAGATATCGAGAATTTAGAACATGAAATACCTCTAGGGGCCAGTGACCATTGTGTCCTAGTCTTTGACTACATGATGGAATTCAAACTTTATGACCATGGGACAAGAGATCTGGGAAAGGAGAGCTGACTACAGGAAAGGGGACTATAAGAGGATAAGGGACTATCTGGGTGAAGTGCAGTGGGAGGAAGAAATTAGAGGAAAAACAGTCCAAGATATGATGGACCTAGTCATACAGAAATGCCAGGAGGCCGAAGAGAGATTTATACCAACGGTAAAGGGAAAAAATAAGAAGGAATATAATAACCCATGGTTTAATAGACAGTGTCAGGAAGCAAAAATGGCCAGCAGGCGGGAGCGGAGGAAGTACAGAAGACAAAGAACAGAGGACAACAGGATCAGATACAACAGAGCTAGGAACGATTACATTAACATAAGACGAATATCGGAAAGGGACTATGAGAACGACATTGCAATCAAAGCGAAAAAACAACCTAAGTTACTACACAGTCATATAAGAAGAAAAATGTCGGTGAACGACCAAGTGACAAGACTAAGGAAGACAGAGGGGGCATATACTGAAAGTGACAAGGAAATCTGCGAGGCACTGAATGCCAGTTTCCATGGAGTGTTCACTACCGAGCCTGAGCAGCTCCCATTGTTGGAAGGGGTTACCCTAGATGAAAGACTATCAGATATAGAGGTGACAGCAGAGGAGGTAATGAAACAGTTGACAACTCTAGATGCAACTAAAGCAGTTGGACCAGACAAAGTATCGCCGTGGATACTAAAAGAAGCAGCACAGGCCCTCAGCGTGCCTCTGGCAATGATCTTTAATGAGTCACTTATGTCAGTAGAATTGCCCAGTTGCTGGAAGAAGGCAAATGTCGTGCCGATCTTCAAGAAAGGTGATAGGGAGGAGGCATTTAACTATAGACCTGTATCACTGACAAGCATCCCCTGCAAAATACTGGAAAGAATAATTAGGCTACGACTGGTTGCACACCTGGAGAACATTAGGTTTGTGAACAAACATCACCATGGGTTCTGGACAGGAAAATTGTGCCTAACAAACCTTCTGGAATTCTATGATAAAATAACGAGGATAAGACAGGACAGAGATGGTTGGGCAGACTGCATATTTCTGGACTGCCAAAAAGCCTTTGATACAGTACCGCACATGAGACTGCTGTTCAAGCTCGAGAGGCAGGCGGGGGTGGGTGGAAAGGTCCTAGCATGGAAAAGGAACTACCTAACAGGAAGGAGCCAAAGAGTTACGGTAAGGGGCGAGAAGTAGGACTGGCGAACGGTAACAAGTGGAGTACCACAAGGATCGGTGCTGGGACCAATTCTATTTCTTGTATATGTTAACGACATGTTTACAGGCATAGAGTCCTACATGTCGATGTTTGCGGATGACGCAAAGTTGATGAGAAGAGTTGTGACAGATGAGGATTGCAGGATCCTCCAAGAGGACCTGAACAGGTTGCAGAGATGGTCAGAGAAATGGCTATTGGAATTCAACACGAGCAAATGTAAAGTTATGGAAATGGGACTAGGAGATAGGAGACCAAAGGGACAGTACACAATGAAGGGGAACAGCCTACCTGTAACGACGCGTGAAAGAGACCTGGGGGTGGACGTAACACCTAATCTATCTCCTGAGGCACATATAAATAGGATAACGACAGCAGCGTACTCTACACTGGCAAAAGTTAGAACATCATTCAGAAACCTAAGTAAGGAGGCATTTAGGGCGCTTTGCACTGCCTACGTAAGGCCAGTCTTAGAGTATGCCGCCTCATCATGGAGTCCCCATCTGAAGAAGCATATAATGAAACTGGAAAAGGTTCAGAGGTTTGCAACGAGACTCATCCCAGAGCTACGAGGGATGGGGTATGAGGAGCGCCTGAGGGAACTGTGCCTTACGACACTGGAAAGAAGAAGGGAGAGAGGGGACATGATAGGAACGTATAAGATACTCAGAGGGATTGACAGAGTGGACATAGACGAAATGTTCACACGGAATAGTAACAGAACGAGGGGACATGGATGGAAGCTTGAAACTCAGATGAGTCACAGAGATGTTAGGAAGTTTTCTTTTAGCGTGAGAGTAGTGGGAAAATGGAATGCACTTCAGGAACAGGTTGTGGAAGCAAATACTATTCATAAGTTTAAAACCAGGTATGATAGGGAAATGGGACAGGAGTCATTGCTGTAAACAACTGATGCTCGAAAGGCGGGATCCAAGAGTCAATGCTTGATCCTGCAGACACAACTAGGTGAGTACAACTAGGTGAGTACACACACACACACACACACACACACACACACACACACACACACACACACACACACACACACACACACACACACACACACACACACACACAGACACACACACACACACACACACACACACTAGGAAGAGAGGAGGAGTGGCTGGTGAAAAAACACCTGAAGGTAAGAGAGTTAATATTTGAAAACCCTCGAGACATTGATATAATGGCAATGCAGATCTGGAATCAGGAGGATAAGCTGATAATTTTAAATGCCTACAGCCTACCAGCAAGCATCACATGGACAAAGGAAGAACTGGATGACAAACGAGAGGGCCTCATAATGGTCATGAGAGATATTATTGTAAAAGCAGAAAAAGATAAATCACGACTGTTGATACTGGGGGACTTCAACTTTAGAGCAATAGACTGGGAGGCCTATGAAGCAAGAACGGAGGACTTTTGGACATGCAGATTTGTGAACCTCATTCTGGAGACATTCTTGTATCAACACATAAAGCAGGCCACAAGAATGAGGGAAGGAGATGTACCGTCAGTACTGGATCTAGTATTTATCAGGAAAGAAGAAGAGATATTTGACATCCAGTACCTTCCTCCCTTGGGAAAGAGTGATCACGTCCAGTTAGACATTGATTATGCTTTAAGATATCATCTAGAAGAAAATGGGGGCATTAAAACAGCTGATACACTCGATTTAAGGAGAGGTCACTATGGGGAACTTCAAATTTTTTTTAATGAGTGTAATTGGAGAGACTTGTTGCTAGGCAGGGAAGTAAATGAAATGTATGCCAAATTTTGCAAAATATATGAGGAAGGCACACAAACATTCATACCAAAACAGAGATGCAGGGCCAGAAAACAGGATTGGTTCAACAGAAATTGTGAGAGGGCCAGAGACCAAAAGACACAAAAATGGAATCATTATAGGAAGAGGCCAAACCCCCCAAACATACCAGCGATACAAAGATGCTAGAAACAACTATACGGCAGTAAGGAGAGAGGCAGAAAGAAATTTTGAAAAAGGGATAGCGGATAAATGTAAAACAGAACCGGGCCTATTCTACAAATTCATAAAAAACAAATTGCAGGTAAAGGATAATATTCAGAGGTTGAAAATGGGAAACAGATTCACAGAAAATGAAAAGGAAATGTGTGAAACATTAAATGAAAAGTTCCAAAGTGATTTTGTACAAAATGAAATCTTCAGAGAACCAGACACAATAAGAATTCCAGAGAACAACATAGAGCACATAGAGGTGTCTAGAGATGAAGTGGAAAATATGCTAAAGAAGCTCAGTAAGAACAAAGCAGTTGGCCCAGATGGAGTTTCACCATGGGTTCTGAGAGAATGTACATCTGAGCTTAGCATTCCACTTCACCAGATCTTTCAGGCATCCCTGTGTACAGGAATCGTAGCAGACGTGTGGAAACAGGCTAACATAGTTCCAATCTACAAAAGTGGCAGCAGGGAAGACCCCCTCAATTATAGACCTGTATCATTGACAAGTGTAATAGTGAAAGCATTGGAAAAACTAATCAAACCTAAATGGGTAGAACACCTGGAGAGAAATGATATAATATCAGACAGACAGTATGGTTTTCGATCTGGAAGACCCTGTGTATTGAATTTACTCAGTTTCTATGATCGAGCCACAGAGATATTACAGGAAAGAGATGGATGGGTTGACTGTATTTATCTGGACCTAAAAAAGGCTTTCGACAGAGTTCCACATAAGAGGTTGTTCTGGAAACTGGAAAATATTGGAGGGGTGACAGGTAAGCTTCTAACATGGATGAAAAATTTTCTGACTGATAGAAAAATGAGGGCAGTAATCAGAGGCAATGTATCGGACAGGAGAAATGTCACAAGTGGAGTACCACAGGGTTCAGTTCTTGCACCAGTGATGTTTATTGTCTACATAAATGATCTACCAGTTGGTATACAGAACTATATGAACATGTTTGCTGATGATGCGAAGATAATAGGAAGGATAAGAAACTTAGATGATTGTCATGCCCTTCAAGATAAAGGATAAAATATGTATATGGAGCACCACTTGGCAAATGGAATTTAATGTTAATAAATGCCATGTTATGGAATGTGGAACAGGAGAACATAGACCCCCACACAACCTATATATTATGTGAGAAATCTTTAAAGAATTCTGATAAAGAAAGAGATCTAGTGGTGGTTCTAGATAGAAAACTATCACCCGAGGACCACATAAAGAACGTTGTGTGAGGAGCCTATGCCACGCTTTCTAACTTCAGAATTGCTTTTAAATACATGGATGGCGATATACTAAAGAAATTGTTCACGACTTTTGTTGGGCCAAAGCTAGAACATGCAGCGGTTGTGTGGTGCCCATATCTTAAGAAGCACATCAACAAACTGGAAAAGGTGCAAAGACATGCTACTAAGTGGCTCCCAGAACTGAAGGGCAAGAGCTACGAGGAGAGGTTAGAGGAATTAAATATGCCAAAACTGGAAGACAGAAGAAAAAGAGGTGATATGATCACTACATACAAAATAGTAACAGGAATTGATAAAATCGATAGGGAAGATTTCCCGAGACCTGGAACTTTAAGAACAAGGGGTCATAGATTTAAACTAGCTAAACACAGATGTCGAAGAAATATAAGAAAATTCACTTTCGCAAACAGAGTGGTGGACGGTTGGAACAAGTTAAGTGAGAAGGTGGTGGAGGCCAAGACCGTCAGTAGTTTCCAAGCATTATATGACAAAGAGTGTTGGGAAGACAGGACACCACGAGCGTAGCTCTCATCCTGTAACTACACTTAGGTAATTACACACACACAGTAATGAAGGGGGGTCAAGATTTTTTCCATGAGCACTGGAAAATCAGTGTGCACTGTATTCGCAGTTGTTAAAGAACCTCAAAACATGCTACGACTTAAAATGTGTTACTATCAGAAAAGTGAACTATTGCTCACCTCTTCCCAATTATGCAATATTATGTCACCCTGACAAGATTTTAATAACATGTTAAATATATCTTACCATCTTTGACTTCAATTAAGTCATCGCCTATGCTGATATTCATGTCTTCGCTTATATCAGCTCCCTGTGAGTGGACAAATTGATGAAAATTAATAATAACCAAATGCAGAGAGATCAACACAGACACTGTGATAATTCAAATTGATGATAAACAAGGAGACAAGTAAAATAATCGACATCCTTAACCTTACATGAGGCCTGGTCGAGGACCGAGCCGCGGGATGTTGAGCCCTGAAATCATCGCAAGGTAAGGTACATATAAAGGTATACCCTTTAACCCTTAAATTGCGCAACACATCATATGATGTGTTGAGTAAATTGCTATAAATTGCGCATCACATCATATGATGTATTGGAGTACAATACCCACTCAATTTAACGGCCTCTTTTATACCGATCTGCCGGTAAGAACGACCAGTTTGGGAGATCGGTATCTGGAGCCTCGTATACCGGTCTGGTGGTCGATATTACCGACGGTCGGTATTTGGTTTGTTTTGGCATCGGCAGCCCCTCACATGGCAACCAGGTGATCATCCAGAGTGGTATATTAAATCTTAACTTTCATTTAAAATGATTCAGTTTTATGAAGAAAATTCTAAATTATTATTATTAAAATATTTTAAAACAATTGTTATTAAACAAAATTCTTTGTTTTCTTATTAAATACCTTTTATAGTATAGGCAATAGGTATTTTTTTTCCCACGGACCTAGAACGTACTGCGCCTGGCCATGTGACCGCGTTGTTTACTGTTAACTCGCGCGGCTGAGAGCAATGTCTCAGAATATTAGCCAGAGAAAATCAGATTCAGACAAAAATAGATAAATTCATGATTTCAACGGTTCGTGAAAGCACCCACTGGGAACTCAACAAGTCATACAGCATGCGCTGGCAACGAGTGCCCTACAAGCCACATTGCACCCGCCGATGCTGAATTCCCATCAACAAGTTGTGCAGCCTCCACCGGCAACGAATGCTCTGCAAGCTATGCTGCACCCGCCGATGTTGAATTCCCATCGACAAGTTGTGCAGCCTCCGCCGGCAAAGAATGCTCTGCAAGCTAGGCTGCACCCGCCGATGCTGAATTCCCATCAACATGTCGTGCAGCCTCCGCTGGCAACGAATGCTCTGCAAGATATGCTGAATTCCCATCGATAAGTCGTGCAGCCTCCACCGGCAACAAATGCTCTGCAAGATATGCTGCACCCGCTGATGCTGAATTCCCATCGATAAGTCGTACAGCCTTCGCCAGCAATGAATGCTCTGCAAGCCATGTTGCACCCGCTGATGCTGAATTCCAATCAAATGTTGTGTAGCCTCCACTAACGATATAAAATATGATTGAAAGGCATATAAATTAGTGTAAAAAGTGTTGATAGAATACAGTATTGTAAGTGTTAATGATTATTTAAGCCTTGACAATAAGATACTGTACAGTGTAAATATACAGTAGAAATAATTTTCAATTGTGAGTTAGAATTAGAACTCATGTGAATTAGTAGTAAGGCTAGCTGTTGTGTGAAGTGAGTGCCTGAAAATAAGTGTTGATACTGTATGTACCCTGTATATAGTACTGAACAATATAAAACAAGCGCTGCAGAGGATGACGTAATCTTCACAGCTTCGTAATCTTCAGCTTCATTAAAAGTAAGTCAATTTACCAATTTTATTATAGTATTTCAACATAGTTTTTTTTTTCAACAAAAGCTACATATTAATCTCAGCAAATGTATATTCTATCATTAGCAGAGAAAAGGTGAGCTCAAAATATTTCGTCTTGGCTAGCTCTCAGTGACAAGGCTCGATCGCCATTGTTATGGCCTGGCCGCCACAGCCTGTGTCATATTAAAAATACATTACCTGCACTGTTCAGGGTAAAACAAAACACATCTCTAAAATTTTATTGAGAAAATATTAACAATCACTGATTGATACATGAAATATTTTGCAACACAAAGGAATGAACCAATTTTTTCCCACCCATCTGGACTTGATCAGACTGTGTTCAAACATCATCCATGCAGCAGCCACCAGCTGGCTTAATCATCGGCGTGGCACTAAATTGGAACGCAATTACACAATGAACTTTATTTAATTTTAGTTATACAGTATAAAATATATCCTACCTGAATGTTACTTGAAAAATTACCCGACCCGACTTAACTTCGGAAATAACGGAGCTCCGGAAATAACGACCAGGGTACAGCCCCATATAAGCCGTTAAATTGAGTGGATACTGTACTACGCAAGAGTTAAACAGCCCGCGGATACACGGGGTTCACCTCACTTTCATCAGGGCTCTTGTAAACAGATGCCATTGTTAAAAACAATCGTGGGCCAAATTCCCGGGTGTGAGGGCCTCAGTATTGAATGAGCCACCAAGCCTGACGCACGCAGCATGAGCTCACAGCACTGCTGTTCAGCTTGTGACCACAGCATCGCCTAAAAATGCCATAATATATATATGTTCATGCTATTATTTCTGTTCATGCTATTTTATGCTGTTCATACTACAGCAGTGCTGTGAGCTCATGCTGATTGTGCCAGCCTAGGTTGCTCACTCAGTACTGAGGCTCTCACACCTGGGAATGTTGCTCCACGATTTAAAAAAAAAAATGGCGTCTGTTTACAAGAGCCCTGAGGAAGCTGATGTGAACCCCATGTAGCCGCAGGAGTTTTGAATCAAACGCTTTACCTATAAGATCCTGGAGGCGCGTTGCGCACCCCCCGCCCCCATCAAGTGCTTACAGGCGCGTTGCGCAGTTCAGTGGTTAAGCTCCTCCGTGATCTAGTACCAGTACATGTACTACTGTATGCAAAGTAGCTTGGATCATGTACCCTATATAAAAATCATATATATATATATATATATATATATATATATATATATATATATATATATATATATATATATATATATATATATATATATATATATATATATATATATACTATATATTCTGTATATAAAAGAAGGCTTTAGTTCAGGAAACTGAAAGAACAGCTATAATGTACAACCAGTGCAGTGTTAGAATTCCTTTCTACAGGGTATTAATCATCCAATACCCACAGCCTAATTGTGGTCCAAAATCAAAGACTTTGAAGACTATAAGCTGACAACCTGCTTAACATTCTCCCTATTATTTTTTTTACATTACTGTATTCCTGAAATGCTCTGAGTATTAGCGACTTCATGCATTGTACTGACTTTACCTATGTATCCGCTACTGCTTATGTACCACATATCTATGTACACTTATAATAGTAATAATAATAATAATAATAATAATAATAATACTGTAAAAACCCGCTAATCCGGACTATATGGGAAGGACCCCCTCAGGCGGATTAGCACATTTTCTGGATTAATGTACAGTATTTTTTCACCGCGGGAGTCCAAAAGTGAGCATTTCCAAAAAATGTTTGTACAGTCACTTGGTTTACCAACTTAAGTTATCCGAAGGCAGGCAGGAAGGGAGGGGGGAGAAGGAAGGAAGGAAGGAAGGAAGGAAGGAAGGAAGGAAGGAAGGAAGGAAGGAAGGAAGGAAGGAAGGAAGGCAGGCAGGCAGGCAGGCAGGCAGGCAGGCAAGTCAGTCAAGTAAGTAAGTAAGTAAGTAAGTAAGTAAGTAAGTAAGTAAGTCGGTCGGTCGGTCGGTCGGTCGGTCGGTCGGTCGGTCGGTCGGTCGGTCGGTCGGTCGGTCGGTCGGTCGGTCGGTCGGTCGGTCAGTCAGTCAGTCAGTCAGGTCAGTCAGGTCAGTCAGGTCAGTCAGGTCAGTCAGGTCAGTCAGGTCAGTCAGGTCAGTCAGGTCAGTCAGGTCAGTCAGGTCAGTCAGGTCAGTCAGTGAAGGAGAGGTAGTGAGGGATGTGTTATTAAGTCAGCGTGTTAATCGCTGACAGAGCCTCCCGCTCATATTAAAATATACATCTTAGCCTCATGCCATTATATGTTGATTTTCATGTTAAATAACACTTTCGCGCACCGGGCGTGCAGTCTGCACGCATGCATGAACTATTACTGGCGGAGAACGCTCGGCGACACTAAATGTGTATACTCGTCTCAGTTTTCTCACCTTAATTCTTGTGCTACGTCGTTCGTTTTGGTATCATTGTGTTCGCAATAGAATTCCCTATATGTGTATATGAATATAAGGTCCAAAAGCCAAGCGTGACTCCCTGCAGCAAAGCCTAAAGTCGGCAAAAGTTATCCATGAGTTACCCGAATACTCGTTTCAGTTTTCTCACCTTAATTCTTGTGCTACATGGCTCATTTTGGTGTCATTGTGTTCGAAATTAAATTCCCTGCAGGTGTTGTATATGCATATATTGTCCAAAAGCCATTTGGCCCACTCCTCCCCCACCCGGGGCGGAGCTGTCCCCCAAAAGCACAGGTCTCACAAGAAAAAAATGGGGTAGCTGTAAAACTCTAAGGAAGGGAGCCCATTGGTCAGACCGTTACAGCACGGCTAGAGGAACAGGCTCAAAGGCCTCCGCCGCCACCCCGGAAGAAGAAAACCCCCGAGACTGCCCGAGTCTCAACACCAACTAAACCCTGCCCCGACCCTGAAACCTGCAGACGTTACGGAGCTCGAAGCAAGGGGGAAGGAATCAAATGCACAACCGAAGGGGAAGGACCAGGAGGGGCGGACGGAACCAGAGCCAAAGCAACCTTCAGCCTCAAGTCCAGGTCCCTATAACCAAAACGGGGCAGTCTCGGGGAATCCGGGGCTACAATCAACCTAGTGCGTTGCAGCAACCTAAACCTAGCATGCAACGTGGCTGATGCCTGTACCCACATATCAGAATGAGTGGCGTGGGTAACTGGAGTACGAACAGATAACAAAAGTCACACGACTCCGGGCCAAGGCGTCACCGACCCAACAGGCAGCAAGGCAGAGGCATAACCGGTGAGTGTCACCCTGAGACAAGGGGAAAGAGCAACCAGAGCAACGTGCAGGAAGCGAGAGGGGACTCAAGGGTCACCGTCATTGGACCACAGAGCCCACGTGGGGTTTTCCAGGGGCCCTTAGCCTTGTTTAAACGCTCAGGGAAGCCCAGGCAGGGTACTGCAAACCGGCGCCCATGTCTACCAAACAAACTGCTAAAAGCTGGACCCCCGGGATGTGTCCACTCACGGGGGCCAAGCGGAAGACTCTACCAAAACAAGAGAAAAACACAAACCCCGACCAAGCGAAGAGAAGAATAGGGAGACCCTTCCACCAGGCAGAAAACAAAAGAAAAACCCCGCAAGAGGACAATGTACCCAGGCGGAACAGAGCCGGCCGCTATAATTGTAGAAGACTAGCTATGCAGTACCCCGCGCCCTTACCAGTGATGAAAACTACCTCCTACCCAGTGACAAACTAGGGCAAAAAAAACCAGCTGACCCGAAGGGTGGCACAGTACCGAGCAGTAAGACACAGCGAATGGTAGATCCCAAGGAGTCTTGTGGAAGATGGCCCCAAACCCCCAAGGGTAGTACTCACAGAGCACCTAGGGAAGGAAACTCTAGGCGCATGCAGCCCAAGTACTGTGGAATATCACTCATGGCTCACACACCACCAGTACAGACAGCCCACACCACAAGGCACAGAACTGAAACAAAAGTGGAGCCAAAGGCACCCGACTGGCCAGTAAACCCATCAGCCAAGAACTGCCAGTTGGATCGCCAACACGGAGGGTCTGGGGGTCCTCCTGGGGGTTGCACAGATGGTGGCACGGTGACGTGATGACGTCATGCTAGTTTGATAATTTTGTTTGGGGAGTTCGGTCCCATATCCATTCAGCCTGGATAGCTCCGGGAAGCCGAAGGGGCGGCCCCCAGAAATACTTGTTTCATGAATGCATTATTGTAATAGATGGAAATTTTCCAGGCTATTTCTGGCTGGCAATCTACTGCCACCTACAGAAGAATCTCTTGGGAAGGGAGGGAGGGAGGGAGGGAGGCAGTGAATGTGGGTGGGACAGAGGAAGTGAGCAGCAGTGAGGGTGACTTCCTCCCTCCCGTCCTGGTGGTGGTGTACAACGATTATTAGGCCATTGATCCGGACAAATATCAGCTAGTCCGGCTTCCATGGATATTTTGACCTGATAAGGATATAACTTTATCCGGGCCATGATTTTTACTGGAATAAGGGGTTTTCCGGATTTGCAGATTCCGGATTAGTGGGTCTCTACCGTACACTGTATAGTATTTGATATATACAACACATTATGCCAATATATCAGAGAGTTTGGCTCCCTTACCTGACCAAGACAGAAAAACAAGGGTCCGAACCTCACAAAACCTGACTCAGCTTGTACATCACCTTTCCAGTACAGTAGAATCCCGCTCAAACAATGATTTCCTCCACCCCCTGCCCAACCACTTGGAATGGACAGTAGAGAGACAGTCTCGATTTATGCAGGTTGGCGTTCAATCCCTGACCATCCAAGTGATTGGACACCATTCCTTTCCCCAGTCCCCATCCAAAATCCTCATCGTAATCCCTTCCGCGTGCTATGTAGCTGTATTGGCTTGGCACTTTCTTCTGATAGTTCCTTCCTTCCTTCCACCCCATCCCCATAATTTCTCCCACTCCTCTGCTCAAAGGGGCTTCCATTGATCTGAATTTAAACAAATTTCAGCTATAATGCCAATCACTGTTTTTCAGCTAAATTTATTGCATTTTTATTAGCAGAAACAATGGAACATACAATTAAGCATACAATATTTTTAAATTATTAATAAAAAATAAGAAAATACATTTAAAAATGCTGTACTTACCTTTGCATCGAGGAACTGCCGTTTCATCACCCTTGAATGCCCGAAGGAGGAGCATTTTGTCGACACTCTACTTGGACTTCTGACCACAAACCGATCCAAAAGGGTTTGATGCCTAGGTGCATTACCCTGAAGAAAGACATTTTTATATATATCAAAGTGTAAACACGTTTACTAGTCACAAACTAGTCTTGTCACAAACGAACTTGCAAAACAATCATTTTCAACACAGATATCACTGTTTTGAAAACTGACATATCCGACATCACTGAACTATATGTTCAATAATTCTCTAACCATGTCCATGGCAAACAGAAGAAAATGTATATACAGTATGTTGGTTAGCATTGTAAATGTGTGGCCATATCTGTGGTAGAACAAAAAAAAACAGCATTGAATGTAATGAAACGCCATTTACTGGGTGAGTCCCGGAGGCTCCTCGGAATCCAGGCTGAATGGATATGTATAACTTTCTGGCATCAAAGTGCTTGGAGTTCTTGCCTATTGGGGACCACGAGGCAGAACCTGGCCCCCTCAGAGAGGCACGAGGAGAAATGGCTTATGGAAATGCCCCCTGTGGTTGGGAGCATTCTATGTCTGCCATCGACCGGGATAGGCACCCAGAAAGGTAGGCGCCCCAAAACAAACCCCTAATCTGGTGAAAATATTGCTACCGAAAGCCGAATGAGTGGACAGAACTCTCCAAACAAAATTATAAAACTAGCATGACGTCATCACGTTGCTGCGCCGCCATCTGCGCAACCCCCCCCCCCTCCCCGGGAGAAGGAAGGGGGAGCCCCAGACCCTCCGCGCTGGCGATCCAACTAGCAGTTTTTAGGCTGGATGTCATAATACATGAAAAATACCGCCAACCGGAGGGAGGGAGGGATGCTAGGGAGCCCCTGGGACTCACCAAGAAAATGGCGTTTCATTACATTCAACGCTGGTTTTTTGGGGGGAGCCCCGTCGGCTTCCCAGGGCTACCTCACCACAGATAAGGAAAAGAAGGAAGCATCTGGGAGGCAGATGCCACGAGCCTGAACATAAAAGACCACAGACGAAACTAAAGGACCCCGCAGACGACCCGGGAGACTCGAACCCCAGAACAGGAAGGAGGGAAGGAAGGGAACCCGGGCAAACCAAAACGCGTCCACAGCCCGAGAGGCCAAGATACACAGAGAACAGCGAAGAGCCGTAACCGAGCAACAAAGGAAGCACCCCCGGCCTGATCAACCAAGCAGCAACCCAAGGACCCCTCCGGAAAGCAGCAAACCCAAACATCACCTAAAAAGAAGGCGACTGCAACAAACGAGCAACCTACCATGAGGACCAAACAAGGCAGAAAAAACACAAGCGCTGGAGGAGAGCTGGAAACTCCACGACCCGACCGCTAGAGGTCAACACCAACAGAAGAAGGAGACATGAAAAACAAAAAACTAGGCGCATGCAGCCCGAGTACTGAAGAATCACTCCCGGCTCACGCACCACCTAGAAAACAGACACCACACTCTAGGTACAGTGCTGAAACAACCACTGGAGCCGGAGCACATAACCATTGCCTATAGCATCAGCCGAAGAACTGATGGGTGGATAGCCGGCGTGGGAGGTCTGGGGCTCCCCCTTCCCCCTCCCGGGGAGGGGGGAGCTGCGCAGGCAGCGGCGCGGTGACATATGACGTCATACTAGTTTCCTTGTTTTCTGTTGAAGAGTTCTATCGACTAGTTCGGCTTTAGGTAGCAATTTTCACCAGAATAGGGGTTTGTTTTGGAATGCTTACCTTTCTGGATGCTTGACCCGGTCGATGGCAGACATAGAATGCTTCCAACCACACGGGGGTTTCTATAGGCCATTGCTTCCCTTGCCTCTCTGAGGGGGCCAGGTTCTGGCTCGTGGTCCCCAGTAGGCCCTAGAACTCCATACACATGACTGATGCCAAAGTCTGACATTAGCATATCAGCCGGTAAAGCTCCGGGGAGCCGACGGGGCTCCCCCCAGAAAAATAAACTATACTCACGAAATGAACATTACGGTAACCAATACAACTCAATTCCAATGCAATGTCACACAAAATAATTAAATCAAAGTGAAATTATATAGAAATCTATGAAAATTAAATTTGTCAATGCAATTGGAAACATTGAAATGGAATCATAACATATTTAGGATAGCGTGAGTTGCTCTTACGTGCAACAAATGGAGTTGTTTCTTAAAAAAAATTATGTTTTTTATCTGTCACAAGTGTGGTATCTATACTTATACTTACGAAATGAACGGTATGGTAAACAGCACAACTTAATTCCAACGCAATGTCACACAAAAATAATTAAATCAAAATGAAAATAAATTGTAATCTATGAAAATTCAATTTATCAATGCAATCAGAAACATTGAAATGGAATTGTAACATATTTAGTGTAGTGTGTGTGTGTTGCTATTACGTGCAAAAGATGGCGCTGTTTTTCAAAAAGAGCATGTTTTTACCTGTCACAGGTGTGGCATCTATGTAGTAGGTATATAAAAACATGCGCGTATTCAAATGGAATGTTGTGTCAAAATTTCAAAACAATTGGTGAAGAACTTTCGGAGATTACAGTGTGTGTTGTTCTTACGTCCAACAGATGGCATTGTTTTTAAAAAAAAACATGTTTTTTTCCTGTCACAGGTAAGGCATGTATATAGTAGGTACATAAAAATACGCGCCTATTCGAATGCAATGTTGTGTCTAAATTTCAAAGCAATCGGTAAAGAGGTTTCGAAGATTTCCCTCACATGAAAAACACAGTTTTTCAAAAAATCATGTTTTTTCCCATCACAGACATGACATCTATATTGTATGTATATAAAAACCCACTTGGATGCAAATGGAATGATGAATGAAAATTTCAAAGCAATCAGTGAAGAACTTTCGGAGATTAGCAATTATGAACAAACGAACATTTCCATTTTTAGTTATATAGATAAAAAGAAAACTCCAGTACATGAAGAAGGTAATGCCACTGACAAACTCAAGCACAAATATACCACTGTCTGCAACCTGTCCTTGGGGTATGTCCATTCCATCCAGCAGTTGAAGTATTCATCAATTTTTTTACATACTGTACTGTTCATTCAAAATAAGAATTTTATCAATATAAGTTAATATTATATTTTCTGTCCTCAAGCTATATTCGTTCCATCCTACGGGCGACCCCAAAGATGCATGAATCAATTTTAACATGCTGTTCATTCAAAATAGGAATTTTCTCAAATACTGTACAGTGGAATCTCGAGTTATGAGCAACTCCAGTTACGAGCATTTCGAGTAACGAGCAAGCCACTCCAAGAAAATTTGTCTCGACTGACAAGCTTTCGCTCAATTAACGAGCATTCCCACTGGTTCTCAGACACCTCCAACGACAGTGTTGTTGTTGTTTCATAAGATGAGTTTTCCCCATGACAAGCTCGGTGCCGGAACGGATTAAATTCGTTAATCATGGCGTCACTGTATACATTCATATATATTACATTACTAGTATTGTGCATATTTAGGCAAAGGTTAGGTTAGGTTTGATGTTTTGGTTCTGTTGGCAATTATTTGTATTTGAAGTACGTGGGTGGAGCATTTACAACTTGCGATTCAAATAGAGGTCATCAGTGAAGCACTGTTCGAGAAATATTCGAATGCCACCAGTTGAGAGTGGTGGATAAAGAATTTTTCATTCAAACACAGGTGTTTGACAGCTGCATGGAATGAACATCTAGCTTTTTGTTGATAAGGATGGACTACACAATTCACTACTTAAGGCGTTCAAACATTTCTCATATAGTGCTTCTCTGATGACCTCTGTTCAACTAGCAACTCTGTAAATGCTTCACTCACATACTTCAAATACAAATAATTACCAACAGAACCTACACTTCTAACCTAACATAGGCCTAAATGTGCACAATATGCTAATACGGTATATTAATTTATCTTTGAAAAAATTACCGTTTTGAATAAACAGCATCTTAAAATATATGAATGCGTCTTTGGAGTCGACCACTAGATGAAATGAAGTAAATAATCTAATCTATATAATCTAAATAAAATAATTTGCCTGAAGAAGGGTTGCGGTCGGACAACCTTGGGATCATATGGCACCAAACACTGACACACACTGGATACAGCAACAAATGCAAGCAGACACTTTACTTCTCCATATAGCAATGAGGTGTAAGCTACAAACCCAAGTTGTTCACTTCTGTTCGTAGCCAGTTAATTATATTAGTGAGACCTAGTACTAACTATGGGGGATTTAAATACAGAGGAACCTCGGTTAACGAATTTAATCCGTTCAGGCACTGAGCTTGTCATGTAAAATGCTTGTCTTACTAAACGAATTTCCCCATTTAAAATAATGGAAATAGTTTACAATTAATCCATTCCAGCCCAAAAAAACATCAATATGACATTTTATAATGCAATTCTAATACTTACATATAATTATAAATGTTTTGTTGTACTGTTTTCAATTGTATTTTACCTTATGAAGAGTCGTTGCTGGCTTGAAGGAGACAATGGGTTTATCAGCTTTATCAGATCTGGCAGCCTCACCATGTCGCACAACACTGTGTATACTGCTTCTCTTCCTAAATTTCTCAAATCATTCCCCCGGCTTGCCTTAAATTTATAATTTTCAGACGATGCGCATGGTGTGTTTCTGACAAGGTCCACATACAGCACCTTTGCCTTAGCACAAACTATTGATTTAGCTTTAGAGACACTATTGCCACTATTGCCTTTCATTCATCCAGACCTACAGCAGCTTTTCAACATCTTCTAGGAGGTTTGGACGTTGCTTGATAACCTTTGTAACTCCTTTAGCCCCATCAAGCTTCTTAAATTCTTCCTTCCTCTTTAAGATGGTCCAATTTTTTTATGAGGACCTGCCATACTCCCTGGCGAGATCAGTCACACGAATGCCACACTCGTGCTTTGCTATGATTTTCTTCTTCAAATCTACAGTAATTGCGTATTTCTTCCTCTTGACAACACTATCTTTAGCATGCAGCTTCTTTGCTGACATTGTGGGTTACAAATTGTAGTCAGATAACCACAAAAAACAAACCAAAGAAAAGCACAACAAACTGCAGAGGGATGCTTATTCTGTGTGATAAAACAACACTCTCATCGGAGGCGTCCGTAAATTTGCGAGAACCAGCGGAAACACTAGGAAGTACCACGTGGTTTTCTCATTAACCGAACGGAAGCTCGTCAATCGAGACAAATTTTCTGCGAATGGCTCGCTCGTTACCTGAAATGCTCGTAGATGGGGCTGCTCGTCACCTGAGGTTCCTCTGTATACAATAATAATAGTAGCAACTACTTAGCAGTGATACAATTCATTCTTACCATGTTTCCACACTGGGCTTCTGGTCTGTTATGAACAAGATCTTTGCGTGTTACATCTTTTGGGTTGACTACCGCTGGAGAACTTGGTGGAGACTGTGTAGTCCATGTAGTTGTTCTCGTCTGACCTGTAAAAAATGAGAAAATTTACATTTATTTTTTGTACCATTATTAGATTTACAGGAATTATAAAATATGAGGTCAGTTTCATCCAAACTAAAGGTAAGTTGGAGCATGGCCAAATCAAACACACAACTTTAACTAAGCTCGTTTTCTGTTTGTTAAAACCGTATATACGAGTATTTTTAGGTTAGCATAAATTAGGCTGTGTTAGGCTCAGCTGGGTTAGGCTGGTTTAGGTTAGGTTAGGATAGGATAGGTAAGGATAGGTTGGGTTAGGCTGGTTAACTTAGGTTAGGTTGGGTTAGGCTGGTTTAGGTGAGATTAGGATAGGTTGGGTTAGGCTGGTTAGGTTAGGATAGGATAGAATAGGATAGGATAGGTTAGGTTAAGTTAGGTTGTGTTAGGTTAAATTAGTTTGTTATTTCTTGAACATTCTCACATAAGAATGATAAACATTCATAACATAATAAATAATAACACAATAAACATTCTCATAATGTCTTCCAGATATTATTGCATTCACGGAGATGAAACTTGAAGATATTTTATCTTCAAGTTTGATCACAATCTCCTTTCATCTTATGTATTTTGTACACAGATTCGTATGAATAAAATTATTATAAATGATGCCTAGGTACAGTACTCAAAATTAGTTTTTTCTAAAAGGTTGATCGAGTGCCAATCTGTTCAAGTACCAAATAACTTTCCGCATAAGAAATAATTTAAATTGGATTAATCCATTCCAGACCACAAAAAATACACAATAAATAGATAAAATAGATGCAAATTTATTCTCAATTTACCTGTACTTAGCAAAGTTGATGTAGTATGCCTCACCACTTTATAGATGCCACTTCTCCTCTTAAATTTGTCAAACCACCCATGACTGGCTTTGAACACTTCATTATCAGCTCTCGTTTGTGGGTTTTCTCGTAAGAGATCCCCATACAGTTGTTTTGCTTTTTCACAAATGATGACCTCCGATATACTATCCCCAGCCAACTGTTGTTCGTTGATCCAAATGTACAACAATTTCTCAACCTCTTCCATTGTCTGCGATCTCTGTCTCGTAACCGCTTTCACTCCTTTAGCAACATTAGCTGCCTTGACGGCCTCTTTATGTTTCAGTATGGTAGAGATCGTAGACATAGGCATTCCAAACTCTGTAGCCAGAACAGACATCCTGGCACCACTTTCATATTTTGCAATTAATTCTTTTTTCACCTCTATTGTCGTTCTAAACATTTTTCTTTTTGCTTGGCTGTTATCACTAACTTTCTTAGGTGACATGGTGACTTATTTATGCTAAGAATATAAATAGATATATATATATATAAAACACGAGAACATATAGAGAGCAAAGTTTGTTGATTTAGGGTCAACGACGCCAGAGGAAAAGTTTGTTGTTGTTGATGTTGTAGGGTTAGGGGCAGCTACAGCACAGGGGCGCGTACACCCCCAGCGTTCCCGGGAATGGAAGAAATATATTTATATTTTTATATTTTATATATATACAAGAAAGTACACTGGGTTGTGAGAGCACATAACACTAGTGTTTTTAATCTTCTTAAAAAGTCACTAACATGCATAGCGTTTCGGGCAGGAACGTTATTGTAAATTGTCTTTACATTATTTTGTTTAAGTTTCTTTAAAGCCCGAAGGCTCTATGATGAAAAAAAATAAAACAATTGCCATGCCGTATGGCAGATAAATGGCCAACACACAGGCGACACTTATAGTGACCCCAGTCATCTGTAGTGACCCCAGACAACACCTATAGTGACCCCAGTCATCTGTAGTGACCCCAGACAACACCTATAGTGACCCCAGTCATCTATAATGACCCCAGACAACACCTATAGTGACCCCAGTCATCTGTAGTGACCCCAGACAACACCTATAGTGACCCCAGACAACACCTATAGTGACCCCAGTCATCTGTAGTGACCCCAGACAACACCTATTGTGACCCCAGGCAACACCTATAGTGACCCCAGTCATCTGTAGTGACCCCAGACCACCTATAGTGACCCCAGTCACCTGTAGTGACCCCAGACAACACCTATAGTGACCCCAGTCATCTGTAGTGACCCCAGACAACACCTATAGTGACCCCAGACAACACCTATAGTGACCCCAGTCATCTGTAGTGACCCCAGACAACACCTATAGTGACCCCAGTCATCTGTAGTGACCCCAGACAACACCTATAGTGACCCCAGTCATCTGTAGTGACCCCAGACAACACCTATAGTGACCCCAGTCATCTGTAGTGACCCCAGACAACACCTATAGTGACCCCAGTCATCTGTAGTGACCCCAGACAACACCTATAGTGACCCCAGTCATCTGTAGTGACCCCAGACAACACCTATAGTGACCCCAGTCATCTGTAGTGACCCCAGACAACACCTATAGTGACCCCAGTCATCTGTAGTGACCCCAGACAACACCTATAGTGACCCCAGTCATCTGTAGTGACCCCAGACAACACCTATAGTGACCCCAGTCATCTGTAGTGACCCCAGACAACACCTATAGTGACCCCAGTCATCTGTAGTGACCCCAGACAACACCTATAGTGACCCCAGTCATCTATAATGACCCCAGACAACACCTATAGTGACCCCAGTCATCTGTAGTGACCCCAGACAACACCTATAGTGACCCCAGTCACCTGTAGTGACCCCAGTCATCTATAGTGACCCCAGTCATCTGTAGTGACCCCAGACAACACCTATAGTGACCCCAGACAACACCTATAGTGACCCCAGTCATCTGTAGTGACCCCAGTCATCTGTAGTGACCCCAGACAACACCTATAGTGACCCCAGTCATCTGTAGTGACCCCAGACAACACCTATAGTGACCCCAGTCATCTGTAGTGACCCCAGACAACACCTATAGTGACCCCAGTCATCTATAGTGACCCCAGACAACACCTATAGTGACCCCAGTCATCTATAGTGACCCCAGACAACACCTATAGTGACCCCAGTCATCTGTAGTGACCCCAGACAACACCTATAGTGACCCCAGTCATCTGTAGTGACCCCAGTCATCTGTAGTGACCCCAGTCATCTGTAGTGACCCCAGTCATCTGTAGTGACTCCAGTCATCTGTAGTGACCCCAGTCATCTGTAGTGACCCCAGTCATCTGTAGTGACCCCAGACAACACCTATAGTGACCCCAGTCATCTGTAGTGACCCCAGTCATCTGTAGTGACCCCAGTCATCTGTAGTGACCCCAGACAACACCTATAGTGACCCCAGTCATCTGTAGTGACCCCAGTCATCTGTAGTGACCCCAGACAACACCTATAGTGACCCCAGTCATCTATAGTGACCCCAGACAACACCTATAGTGACCCCAGTCATCTGTAGTGACCCCAGACAACACCTATAGTGACCCCAGTCATCTGTAGTGACCCCAGACAACACCTATAGTGACCCCAGTCATCTATAGTGACCCCAGACAACACCTATAGTGACCCCAGTCATCTATAGTGACCCCAGACAACACCTATAGTGACCCCAGTCATCTGTAGTGACCCCAGACAACACCTATAGTGACCCCAGACAACACCTATAGTGACCCCAGTCATCTGTAGTGCCCCAGTCATCTGTAGTGACCCCAGACAACACCTATAGTGACCCCAGTCATCTGTAGTGACCCCAGACAACACCTATAGTGACCCCAGTCATCTGTAGTGATCCCAGTCATCTGTAGTGACCCCAGACAACACCTATAGTGACCCCAGTCATCTATAGTGACCCCAGACAACACCTATAGTGACCCCAGTCATCTATAGTGACCCCAGACAACACCTATAGTGACCCCAGACAACACCTATAGTGACCCCAGACAACACCTATAGTGACCCCAGTCATCTATAGTGACCCCAGACAACACCTATAGTGACCCCAGACAACACCTATAGTGACCCCAGTCATCTATAGTGACCCCAGACAACACCTATAGTGACCCCAGTCATCTATAGTGACCCCAGACAACAGCTATAGTGACCCCAGTCATCTATAGTGACCCCAGACAACACCTATAGTGACCCCAGACAACACCTATAGTGGCCCCAGTCATCTATAGTGACCCCAGACAACAGCTATAGTGACCCCAGACAACACCTATAGTGACCCCAGACAACACCTAGTGACCCCAGTCATCTATAGTGACCCCAGACAACAGCTATAGTGACCCCAGACAACAGCTATAGTGACCCCAGACAACACCTATAGTGACCCCAGACAACACCTATAGTGACCCCAGTCATCTATAGTGACCCCAGACAACACCTATAGTGACCCCAGTCATCTATAGTGACCCCAGACAACAGCTATAGTGACCCCAGTCATCTGTAGTGACTCCAGACAACAGCTATAGTGACCCCAGACAACAGCTATAGTGACCCCAGACAACACCTATAGTGACCCCAGACAACACCTATAGTGACCCCAGTCATCTATAGTGACCCCAGACAACACCTATAGTGACCCCAGTCATCTATAGTGACCCCAGACAACAGCTATAGTGACCCCAGCAGTTTCCTATAACTTATAAAGCTCAGCTGGAAAATATCATCAAGGCAAATGGGGAGACCTTCGACAAGGCGCCGGCTTCCTGTCCTCGTCGAGGCGTCTCGGGCAAACTACTGCAGCTTAAGGTCGACTCCTTCACTCTACCGAAGTGGTGGAGAGCGTTGGAGGACTACATCATACATCCAGCGTTCTCCTAATGTTGTGCCTCTCCCTGGAAGTTACTTCGGTATTCTCACAAGACAGACGCTTGGGAGACGCCCTGATACAAGGATATGTAATCCAAGGGTTAAGTAAGGGATATTTGGTCTCATTTCGGGCCGGGGAAGGATGTTCCCGCGGAGTTGGCACCTGTGGACATGGAGGAGCGGATGTGCTGGCCGCTGAGGTCATATTGAATACTTCATCCCCAAGACTTTTATCAATTATGGGCAAACAATGTGAGAGGATAGCA